CATTCGACACGGTGAATCATCAGATCCTCCTTCGCACTCTCCAAAAACTTGGAGTTTCAGGCTCTGCACTTTCCCTCCTCACCTCATATCTGAAAGACCGTACCTACAGGGTGACTTGGAGAGGGTCTGAGTCCGACCCTTGTCAATTAACTACAGGGGTCCCTCAGGGCTCTGTTCTTGGTCCCCTCCTCTTCTCCCTGTACACAAACTCACTCGGATCAGTCATTAGCCCGCATGGTTTTTCATACCACTGCTACGCTGACGACACCCAATTAATTCTGTCCTTTCCCCGCTCAGAGACCCAGGTCGTCGCACGCATCTCTGCTTATCTAGCTGACATCTCTCAGTGGATGTCTGCTCATCACCTTAAGCTCAACCTTGACAAGACTGAGCTGCTCTTCCTTCCGGGAAAAGATTGTCCCACTCTTGACCTAACAATCAACATCGGCACCTCAGTTGTTTCCCCGACTCAGACTGCAAGGAATCTGGGTGTGACCCTAGATAACAACCTGTCCTTCACTGCAAACATAGCTGCTACAACCCGTTGCTGCAGATACACGCTTTACAACATCAGGAAGATACGTCCCCAGCTGACTCAGAAAGCGACTCAGGTTCTGGTCCAGGCTCTCGTCATCTCACGCCTAGACTACTGCAACTCCCTCCTGGCTGGTCTACCTGCATGTGCCATCCGACCTCTGCAGCTCATCCAGAATGCAGCGGCTCGTCTGGTCTTCAACCTTCCTACATTTTCCCACACCACTCCGCTCCTCCGCTCCCTTCACTGGCTTCCGGTAACTGCTAGAATCCACTTCAAGACACTGGTACTTGCTTACCATGCTGCGAATGGATCTGGCCCTTCGTACATCCAGGACATGGTTAAACCGTACACCCCAGCGCGTGCACTCGCTCTGCATCAGCCAAACGACTCGCTGCGAGGGGGACCCAAGTTCCCATCAGCAAAAACACGTGGGTTTGCTATCCTGGCTCCAAGATGGTGGAATGAGCTCCCCATTGACATCAGGACAGCAGATAGCTTGCACATCTTCCGGCGCAGACTGAAAACTCATCTCTTTCGACTCCACTTCGAGCGATATAACTAGTAACAAAGCACTTATATACTAATAAAGGACTGGCTTATCTAAAGCCAGTTGAGTAGCACTTGAAATGTTTGGCTCTATGAAACCTGATGTACTTATATGATTCTGTTTTCCTCAAGTTTGTATTTTGTTGGTCGAACGCACTTATTGTAAGTCGCTTTGGATAAAAGCGTCAGCTAAATGCAATGTAATGTAATGTAATAACAATTCTGAATAAGGACCTGGTGCACGGTACACTGTAACAAATAAGATTGGCTGCAAAGTTTTCCAGGTCGGATGCGTAAGACTAAAAACAAGGCTTTCAAAGGAGGTATAATTTAATTTTGGTTTAGTATTGATAAGTAAACTTGAGTCAAAGATGGCTGCAACTCCACCTCCTCGGCTTGTGCCTCGAGGAATATGAGTATTGATATGACTGGGTGGAGTGGCCTCATTTATGCTGACATATTCTTCATGTCTCAACCAAGTTTCAGTGAGACAGCATATATCAAATCAAATCAAGTTTCATTTATATAGCACATTTATAAACGATTTTTGGTCGAGCCAAAGTGCTGTACATATAATCAAAATAGCCTACAGTAGAGACACTTTACAGCTAATACAATAGCACAGATTGTTCAGAATATCAGTATGAGAAAAAACGACACCCTCTATCCTTAGACCCTCACATCGTACAAGGAAAAACTTCCGGAGAAAAACCCACAGTTTAAACTTTAGAGGGAAAAAATGGGAGAAAACTCAGGAAGAGCAACAGAGGAGGGATCCCTCTCCCATGACGGACAGACGTGCAATAGATGCCGTGTGTAAATCGAAGAGATAATACATTTTACAGCATAGGTAGTCCAAATGTTAGGAAATGCATGTGTCTGTAATAAGAAGATGAATCTACGAAGACTACAATCCTGTGGGAGCCTTCAGGGAGGCAGCAAGACAAGACCCAGGCAGGACCGCAGAGACAGGTTTAGCCACGACCCGAAGTCCACGACTTAATCCAGAACTCAGGATAGAGGATCCAGGACCACAGCAAGAAGATCAGCCTCGACTCCGGATCCCGGCGTAGATATAGACACAAAACAAGAAAACATTTGGCTGGGTTAATCGGAACAAGAGAATACACAGACAGACAGACGGAAGAACAAGCACTCCCTTAGAGTAGATTGAGGGCAAAGGGTAGCAAGTAAGAGAGTAAGAAACATAGGTGGAGAGGCACACTCAGGGAACAAGGTCCCCACTGGAGCCTTAGTTGGAAATTGATGAGAGATAGGGAGGTACGCTGTGTCTACGAATTGTAACACTCCCCGGCCTGTCTAAGCCACTCTACAAACCGTTTCCCTCTAATAAAACTCAAGAGGTCAGAGAGGGAAAAGGTCTTGGGTAAAAGTTAATCTTGATAAGAGAAGCCTAAAAGGCCAGAGAGAAAAAGTGAGTTTTAAGTAGGGGTGCACCGAATGGGAAATTATTGGCCGAAACCGATACCGAAAATAGGAAACAGTTGGCCGAAAACCGAATGCCGAAAGGCCGAAAATGATTAATAGAAATATATATATATAATGTATACATCTTTTACCAATGTTGTTCAGCTACCTGATTATGGAAATAGACATGATTATGGCAAAACTTAACTTAAATAATAATCACTATTATGGGTCCATAAAACATTTATTCAGCACTTTTGAATGCATACAGTACATTTATATATGTCATGTATTATTGCTAAAAAACATTATATCGCAGTCTTAGTGTCGCCAACTCGTTTCTAATATGCAAAGACAACAAATGCGTCTATGATGTATTTTCGATCAGACGAGATCTCCCCCCCGTCTGTGTGCGAGGGGGCGGGGCAGTTTACACACACGCAGCTGCTACATGCAGCGGAGCACACTGCGGAGATGGCGGAGAGAACGCGCTCCGAGGTGTGGTTACACTTTACCCGTCTCGATGTGGAGAATACTTGTTACCATAAGTGCAATAAGAGTTTAGCATGTAAGCACGAGCAATTTGTCTAAACATTTAGCAAAAGTGCACCGCGTGCAGACGGAGGAATGTACCGGGTTCGACCGTCTTTCTATAAGCTCTGTAGCCCCATCCACGAGTAACGTTTCCACGTCAGGTGTTATGTATGCTAGCAGCAACACACGGAGTTAACTACATTATACAAACATGGGTTAATGATTAGAGGAAACTGAGTTATTTAGTTTGTTAAAATTTCAGCTATTCTGTTTACAGTCTGTCATCAGATTATTTAATACGATTTGTTAAAGGCTCAAGGCAATCTCGATGACAAAGGTCAATGTCCCCCCCCCCCCCCCTGTGAGCCAGCCGCGAGCATGGTCGCCGCGTCTTTATTACGTCATCACAACAACACGTTAGGTTACCAACGTAAGCCTGTTCTGACATTCGGTGATATTTTTTCGGTGCTAAAACCCTTTCGGCCGAAAGCCGAAAGGGCCTTTTTAACCATTTTCGGCCGATAATTTTCGGTGGCCGAATATTCGGTGCATCCCTAGTTTTAAGTGTTGATTAAAAAACCCCCAGGGTCTGGGCCGACCTCACATAGAGGGGCAAAATGTTCCAGAGCCTGGGGCCCGCTGCTGCAAATGCTCGGTACCCTCTGGTTTTAAGCCTGGTCTTAGGCACTATCAGCAGCAGCTGATCAGCCGACCTTAAGGCTCTGCCTGGGGTTTAGCGATGGAGGAGTTTGGCTACATAGGCCGGAGCCAGCCCATTTAGGGCTTTGAAAACAAATAAAAGGATTTAAAAATCTATTCTGAACCGAACTGGAAGCCAGTGCAATGAGGCCAGAATTGGGGTGATGTGGTCACGCTTTGTATGGCCAGTTAGAAGACGTGCAGCTGCATTCTGCACTAGCTGTAGGCGTCTAATTGATCCTGGTCCATACCCACATACAGAGCATTGCAGTAATCCAGTCTCGAGGTAACAAAGGCGTTAATAACCCTTTCTAGGTCTTTAAAAGAAAAAAAACGACTTGGTCTTAGCCAATAGTCGTATTTAAAAAAAAGCAAGTCTTGACTACGGTGTTGACCTGTTTATCAAATTTAAAAGCGCTATTGAAGGTCACTCCAAGGTTCATAACAGAGGGGAGGATATTTTTACTGAGGGAGCCCGGAATATCAACCGGAAAAGCTGGAGGTCGGGGTCCAAAAAAGATGACCTCGATCTTGCTCTCGTTGAGGGTGAGGAAGTTTTGGCTCAGCCAGGATTTAATCTCTGTTAAGCAGTCCATCAACTGCTGTAGTGAGTTGGCATTTTGATTGAGAGGCAGATAGATCTGTACATCGTCAGCATAACAATGGAAGGGGATATTGTGTTTTGTGAGAATTGAGCCTAGGGGCAGTATGTACAATACAAAAAGGATGGGGCCCAGAATCGAGCCTTGGGGAACCCCACAGGTAAGAGGGGCTTTGGCAGAGGAGAAGGCACCCAACTGCACTGAGAGGCTACGGTCTGTCAGGTAGGACCTGAACCATGCAAGTGCAGAGCCTGTGATGCCTGCGGACTGTTCAAGCCGTGACAACAGGATGCTATGGTCCACAGTGTCAAAAGGCAGCTGTCAGGTCCAACAGCACCAAGACAGCTAAGCTACCTGAATCAGCGGCTAGGAGCAGATCATTAAAAACTCTTAAAAGGGCTGTTTCAGTACTATGCATGGGTTTAAAGCCAGACTGAAACTTTTCATGGATGCCACGTGTGGTTAAAAACGACTGCAGCTGGGCGTAGACTACTCGCTCCAGGGCTTTAGATAAAAAAGGTAGCTGTGAGATGGGCCTAAAATTTGCGAGAATGGAAGGGTCGAGATTTTTCTTTTTAAGTAGTGGCTTAACCACGGCATGTTTGAAGGCAGCTGGGACACATCCTGAGCAAAGAGAGGTGTTTACAAGCAATAAAACACTTGCTCCAACTGATTCAAAAACATCTCTAAGGAAGCGAGAGGGAATGCTGTCTGAGGTGCAGTTTGTCGGCCGCAGGTGCTTGACTATATCCGAGAGAGAAGCGAGGGATACAGGCTCAAAGTGGTCGAGGACAGCAGGGCACAGAAAAGGAGCAGCATCTGGGGTAGCACTAGTGTGGGCTAGCCTAAGAGCTGATACTTTTTCGATAAAAAATGTAAGAAATGTATCGCAGAGAGTAGTCGATGGCACAATTGGAGAAGCATCACAAGGATTAATGATCGAGTTGAGGACATTAAAAAGAACTTGAGGTTTATGGCTGTTTTTAGAGATTAACAGAGAAATATACTCTGTTTTGGCTGCTTTGACTGCCATCTGGTAGTCGGAAAGGCAAGCACGAAGGATTTCTAAGGAGACATGGAGTTTATCCTTTTTCCATTTTCTTTCTGCACGCCTGCAAGCCCGTCTAAGAGTGCGAGTACAATCATTGAGCCACGGCTCTAAAATAACTTTGGTGCGTCTAAGCGTAAAAGGAGCAACGGAATCCAGTATTAGTGTGCATGTCGAATCAAACATGGAGATAAGCTCATCAGCACTAAGAGCACAGTTCACCTCTAATTTACAGATCGGAGAAGCATTAAAAGCATCTGAAAACTGTGAGGCAGTCAAGGAGTTAATTGAACGCAGACAACGTGCAGGAGGACGTGATTCGACTCCCGCAGAAGGGATCGAGGTTGTAAACAGAACCGGTAAATGGTCTGAGATACGCGTTGCTGCACAGATTTCATCCACAGAGATAGACAGTCCAAACGATAATACTAAATCTAAGGTGTGTCCTTTATCGTGCGTTGGACCAGCCACGGACTGAATGAGACCAAAAGAGTCGAGGAGATTTAAAAAGTCCCTAACCAGAGGTTTAGACTCGCAGCACACATGGACATTAAAGTCTCCGCAGATCAAAACACGATCATATTTCACCATGATCCCGGACAGAAAGTCAGAAAAGTCAGTTATGAAATCCTTATTGGACTTTGGTGGACGATACACAACTGCGCAGAGTATAGGCGAGGCCGGGTTCAGCTCAAAAAGCTGCAACTCGAAGCTAGCATAGCTAGTTACAGGGTGAAGCAATCGGCATTGGAGATTAGCTCTAAACACTGATGCTATGCCCCCACCACGGCCGGTGGTACGGGGGGAGCTGAAGAAAGTACAGTCAGGAGGAAGAAGTTCAGAAAACGGTACATACTCGCCAGTGTGGACCCAGGTCTCCGTCAGGAACATCAAATCCAGATCACGAGAGGTGAAGAAGTCATTTAACAGGAACGTCTTGTTTGCTATTGACCTAGCGTTTAGCAAAGCCATGCAGAGTTTTCTCTCCGGAGGTGCCGAAGGTGTAGTGCCTCTTAGAGGACGAAGATGTGCGTGTTGAACGCCGCGTGGACCGGGAGCAGTCAGTCGGGCAGGAGGAGCTGCCAGCGGGCCCAGCAGAGGCCGCAGCTCCGGAAAGACAGGGCGAATCCATCGATCCCTCACATGGCATGCAGCGGGAGGGCCATGACATCTGATGCGTGGATAAGTCCCAGGAGAAGCCGTCAGGTGTACTTTTTGATGGACAAGCGCACCACCACGCTTTCCCCGTCGTCTAAAGCGCTTTCGGTGAGGCAGGATGCAGGGCAACCGGCGCAGGTAGGTGGGAATATCTGACAGTAGAGGGGGGGGAGTCGATTTACGGTTGCCAGATGTAGGTTTGGGCAGCAGTATAAACTCCAGTGAGGGTCTTAGGTGGAGGAGAGCTTGGCGATCATCGACGAGCATAGCAGAGACATTCTGACAAACATAAAACAAAAACAGGATAGCTAAAGGTAGATAGCTGAGGGAGCGGCATGCCGACACAGGCGCCATCTTGAAATCCACCGGAATCCATACAGATTATATCAATATTATAATCTGATATTGCTTTAGATGCTAGAGATCTTATGTTTAAGAGTCCACATTTAATCTTCCTGTTTTGTTGCACTGTAGTAGTTGTTACATTTACTTTTATTAGGTTATTATGTATGACACCTCTATTAGGTTTTACTTAAAATTGTCCTTGGGCAGACACACACACCGTTAATATTGGGTATTTTATTGGAGAGAGCGCAGAGAAGCATGTAAGACTGCGACTCCGCCTCCTGGTCTCAGCTCCAGTTTGTCATGGATTAAGTCCACAAAGCTCTGAAATGTTTGCCGAAATGAGATTTGCACCTTGCAAAGTAGGATGAAGGGGGAAAAGAGGATGCCGTCTCTCTTAATCAGACCAGGTTTTCCCCAGAAGGCTGTCCAATTATTTACGAAGCCCACATTGTTTGCTGGGCACCACCAAGACAACCAGCGCTGAAATGATGACATGTCATCATTGATCAGATTGGGGAGGGGACCAGAGAAGATGACGGTTTCCGACATTGTTTTAGCATAACTATACACCGACTCCACATTAAGTTTGGTGCATTCTGATTGGCGTAAACGAACATAATTTACACCGACGTGAATAACAATCCTACTGTATTTACGTTTATTTTTAGCCAGCAGTTTAAGATGCGCCTCAACGTCGCCCGCTCTGGCCCCCGGAATGCATGTGACTGTGGAGGCTTCGGTCTCTAATTTCACGTGTCTCATAATAGAGCTACCAATAACCAGAGTTGGCTTCTCAGCGGGTGTCTCGCTGAGTGGGGAATATCTGTTAGATACGTGAACGGGTTGGTGGGGACCTGCGGGTCTCGCGTTATGCCCCTTCTGAACAGTCACCCAGTTCGAGAGTTGCCGGGGGACGGCTAGTAAGAGCTACCTCTTGCCGGTCCGCACCGACTAACATGGGCTTTAATGTAGCTGAGTTACTTTCTAAAATGCGGAGCCGGGCTTCTATGGCTATGATTCCCGCCTCCAACCTAGCAACTGTACTACATTTAACACATGTATCGGTACCAGTAAAGGAGGCAGGGAAGTAACCAAACATGAGACAGATTGAGCAGGAAATAGCACCCGAGGGTGGGGAAAGAGCCACGGCTAGCTATCAAGCTAAAGTAGCTACCGTTAGCAAACCCGAAAGGAGTGTAAGCAACTGTGGAGTTACAGTCGCTAAGAGAAGGAGAGTGCTTAAGCTGTAGTAACGTGTGATTACAACGTCAGGTAGCTGCCGTGATCAAGAATTGTAAAACAATCGATTAAGTTAAGATAATATAAGCTATCAGCAGCAGAACAGACACACAGGATAGCCCGAAGGTGACAATAACAACCGGAAGTGACAACACGCTTACCGCAATAGTGAGCATTCAGTCTCGAGTCTTTCAAGAAATTAAAGGCGGATAATTCCATTATGAATGAAAATATGTGATATTACAGAGCGAGAGTTCCACTTTCACATCATGACACTTTGTTCCCTGCACTTATTGCTCCTGAAGAATTTTGGGAAAAGTTTTGCAATTTTTTGACATAATAATAGTCTTTCGCTCATGATCTCCACCTCATGAATAACAATGACCGGGGCTTGTCTTCCCCAAAGTAATTTCCGCTGTCCGGTTAAATTAATTATTAGTCGTGCCATCAAACAATATGTCTCCACCTAGAAAGTAGGTGAGGCACAGTATGAGAAGTTAATGCAAATGAGGTGAATGCCTTCAAGGCTGTTTGAGAAGGAAATTACATTTTAATAAGACTGACGCACTTTTAGCCAGTATTATCAGAAACAAAGAAGTGGAAGGAGGTCACCTGGTGTGACTGAACTAAATTCCATCATAATTACTGATATAAGATAAAAACAAATTACAATAATATTTAAAATACTAAACAGTTTTATTTTAAACAAACACATTTTTTCTCACAAGCTGATGTAGACAAGATATGATGTGTGTACTTGTTTACTCATGTATTGAAGTGTAGTTAAAAACCTATTTTCTGCTGATATTCAATATATTAAAATAAATGAAACACTTAATTAGATCTTCAATCTTAATTAAAAACCAGACTAATTGATTCATTTCATGGTAATAGCTTTTTAAAGGAGAACAACTGTATAATAGGCAGTATTTGTATCAGACTCAGGAAATACATTCAAAGTCTGTGGATCACCCTCTGTAAACCTGTGAAAAAACCTGCCCAAGAAATTCAGGTTAGTCTATTTAAAAAGGTGCATCGTTGTAGAAAGAATTCAACAACATCTCAATAAACTGGTGCACAGTTTCACATTAAAGCCATTAATGGTGTTTAAGAGCTTAAGGGTGCGTTCACACCTGCCTTGTATAGTCCGGTTGAATCGAACCCTGGTGCGTTTAGCCGCTTGGTGCGGTTCATTTGGCTCGGTGTGAACACAATCCGAGACCTCTTAAGTGAACTAAACAACCGGACTCTGGTCCGCTAAAATAGGTGGTCTCGGGCTTGCTTGCGAACTCTGGAGCGGTTCATTACTGGTGTGAACGCAGTCCGCACCAAAACATAGGAAGCGTAGTATTTACGTGTCACAAGAACGCGGATATCTTCAAAATCTTTAGCGAAAGAGTCTTTCAAGACATCCGTGGTTGTTTAGTTAAAGAGTGAAGCAGAATTAAGTGTTGAACAGTGTCGTTGTGACGGAGCGGATCACATGAGTGACTGACTCCACCACTGACAGCCGACACACACACGCACACACACACACCAAACATTTAGGAGAAAAGACGGAGGCGCATCACTTCCGTGTTTTAAATTCCTGCTATGAACCATGCAATTTCTTATTTATTTTTGTGTTTGTTAGTTATGGGGAATGATTATGTTGAGAGGTGGTTGGCCTGTTTATGTTTGGGGTCGGATTTTTGTGTTGAAAATGTGGTTTGGAGTTTGATTGCTGTCACCTGTTGACGGTAGGCCTGGTGGGAGGGGCTGTGGGTTAATAAGGGACGGGTTGGCCCTGGAAGGGGAACTCGGGGAATGTTGCAGAGAAGGCAACAGCTGGGACATGTTCGAGAGATCGTTGCAGAGAAGGCAACAGCTGAACACGTTTACTCTCCGTGAGTGATGGACGGTCTGATGTAGACGTTTTTTTGTTTGTTTAAGTTGTGCTGGTTCGCTATTTATTTTTTTGATGCTGAAAATAAAGTTTTGGAGCTTAACCCAACCGACTAGGCCAGTGTTTTCGGACAGACAAATAGAGCCCCGTCAGCTACATAAAAGTAAGAACACCTGTCGTCGGTGAAACGCCCCTCCTTACTGCAGAACGTCTCTCATTATATGTGTTATAATGTTTTTTAACGGACGTTGTCTGATTATATAATCATATATGCGCGGGCCGCATTTTGTCTGTTGATCTCCAGATTAAAGGAATGGTATGCTCATGACACTCATTTTTAAACAATTATCATCCGATAAAACAGACCAGTCTCTGCCAGTCTTTTTTTTCTTTTTTTTAATCCGATGACATTATCAGTGATTTTAAACTGATTAATTACCGAAATAACATCAACACTGTGGGCGGCGCCATTTTACCGGACGTGACGTAAACCATGCGTTTGGTTTCGAGGACACGTTGATGTTCATGTTATTTACTGTAGTTACTCTCTTCAAATATGCCTCATTGTATCGCGAAACATTGCCACAGTTCTGATAGGAACAATCCACGGAATGCTCGGTTCCATCTGTTGCCAAAAGGTAAGCGTAGGAAGTACGTTCGGAGGCAGTGGCTAGCGAAATGTGGCAGAACCGAAAGATCCACAGGCGCATGTATGCAGCGAACATTTCAAGTTTCCGGACGACTACTCTGAGAGTATGATAAAACATAACATGGGATTTATTGAACAACCATTACTTAATGGCAGTGTTGGAGACGCCGCTATTTTTGGCAGTAACTAGTACTCTAACGCATTACTTTTTCAATTCAGTAACTCAGTTACCGTTACTACATGGTGCGTTACTCCGTTACTGCGTTAGTTTTTTTATATAGTCAACAGCCAGGCGAACAGAGATGAGAACTGTACTTAAGTACAGTACTTGAGTAAATGTACTTAGATACTTCCTGTGTCACATGCGGAGACGGGCTGTGGGCGTGTTTGTGTTGTTTACTAACAAGACTATCATGGCGGCGGCAGAGCTCAAGTCTAGTTTCTCCACCTGGAGATATTCTCACTATTTCACTTTTGTCGAGCACAAAGAAAAGAACGTTTTTAGTTAAATGTAAGTTGTGTCCTGGCGGGTCAAAGATCCTATCTACTGCCCAAACCAGTAATTCAAATATCTTAAAACATCTGCAAAAACAACATGCTGGGACGAAGCTAGTAGCTAAGACCACAGAGACTCAGCCGACGCCACTCCACCTCCACCTAAGTAACAGCGGCTGGATTTTAACCAAAGGACTGTTATCCAGGGAAAAGTCGATAAAGCCATTGCACGGTATGTTGTAGAACACATGCAGGCTATTGCTACAGTGGAGTCACCCGCTTTCAGGGAGCTAGTTAGCATGATAGCATGTCCGGGCGGCACACAGCATATGGGACGGAAAACTTTTTCCAACTACCTGGAGAAAGAATATACAAAAATGGAAAGCCAGCTAATATTGATGCAATCCAGATTGCATATAATGCATGTCAAGTTGATCAACAGATTGTATTATTCTCCAATGCAATAACAGTACTGAAATGAAGGCTGCCTATATGGGCATTAATGGGAGCGCTTTTTAAAAGTAACGAAAACGTTACTTTTCATAGTAACGCATTACTTTTGGGTATAAGTAACTCGTAAAGTAACTGAGTTACTTTTGACATGAAGTAACTAGTAATGGTAACTAGTTACTGGTTTTCAGTAACTAGCACAACACTGCTTAATGGAGATGCAGTGCCATCGGTCTTTCTGGTGTCATCACCGACCAGGACACCAGTTCAGCCAGTTGAGAAATCGCCCTCTGCAAGTGTGAAGCGACGGAGGACCAGAAGTAGTGCTCGGAGTAAGAATAAGGTATGTTATAGCGCATTTCCATTGCAGCGGGTAGCCCCGTTTAAACGTCCTTTATCGTCCAGGCCAGGCCAGTTTTTGGTGGCCTTTCCATATAGCGTAGTACCGGCTAGCGGGTATTTTCCCCCAGTTTTTCCGGCCCCATAAAATCGTGGTTCGAGGGCCAGGGACAACGAGGCTGAGTATGCTAAACTAGAGAGGGAATCGCTAGCAAGGGTGGTACTACATGCATACATATCTAGTAATCAAAATCATTGTATCTACTAAGTAGTAGGATTGTAGCTGACATCCTCGTGGATTCATGTTCTTATTACAGACACATGCATTTCCTAACATTCGGTCTATATGCTGTAAAGTGTATTATCTCTTCGATTTACACACGGCATCTATTGCACGTCTGTCCGTCCTGGGAGAGGGATCCCTCCTCTGTTGCTCTCCCTGAGGTTTCTCCCATTTTTTCCCCTTAAACTGTGGGTTTTCTCTGGAAGTTTTTCCTTGTACGATGTGAGGGTCTAAGGACAGAGGGTGTCGTTTTTCTCATACTGATATTCTGAACAATCTGTGCTGTTGTATTTGCTGTAAAGTGTCTCTACTGTAGGCTAATTTTATTATATGTACAGCACTTTGGCTCGACCAAAAATCGTTTATAAATGTGCTATATAAATAAAACTTGATTTGATTTGATAGTACTAAGTAGGCTCGAACCTGTATGGCTGAATTCCCCCATCCAATCTCTTCATATTGCTCAAAACATCTTCCTCGGCTGACGAGTCCGAACTCAAATACTCCGCCATGTTTTCGTGTGTTTACAAAGTGAACGCATGGATGACGTCACGACCATCACGTGACTACTGAAAATGGGCAAAATGGCAGCGGCCTGACGGAATATACAGGTTTTGATAAAAAAGAGCTATAAAATCATTATTTACCGGGGAATATCGCTGATTTCTTCAGGGTATGGTTTAAACATAATGTTTCACTAAATACTGAAGTTTTGATTAATTATCTAATGAGTGGAGCATTCCTTTAACAGCAGCATGAGAATAACCTGCCGAAAGTGCCGATGCTCCATGGCGGAGGCTCCGATAGAAATTGCCGGGATTCGGGTTTTTACCCCCTTAATGTCTGACCAACGGTTGAACAGCATTTCCGTGCACATGACTTGTGTTTAAAGTTTATAGTCCATTTGACTTTTGCCTGTGTGAACGCAAACCGAACCTTCTGAAAAATGAAACTATGTAACAAACTGTCGTCTGGTGCGCACCAGTAAACGGACTATTAGGTGTGAATGCATCCTAAGAAATAAGTTTGAATCCCGCCTACTATTCACACACCTGGCCAATCACCTTTCAAAGTGGGCGGGATAGAGTGACGCCAGAATGAGTCTTCAACCCGCAGCAACCCAGCTCACACTGTCCGGAGCTCCAACAAGCTGTTTAGGACAGAGAGTGAATACACATACTATACAGAGATGCTATATGAGAAACCAATGTGAGTTTGGAACATTGCACAGTATAAATCTATTTTAGTAGACCTGAAAAATTGAATTATGATCAGTATAAATGGCCATGACATGGGACCTTTAAAATCCAATAGAAATTAAATAGAAAAATCGAATTGCTTTTTGTCAAGGAAGCGCTTGCGATGCTTACTTCTGGGTCAGCCTGCAAAAACACGTCACCACTCTATTGATCAGAAAGGCGTTGCTAGCTGTCAAATTCATGTTGAATTGTAGTGTCTTGTACGTACGTAGGCATTGAGGCAGCTTCTGATTCCACTTGGGGCCTGAGGACCCTCGGTTGAAGCAGGTGAGGAGACTGTTCCCAGACAGAGTGAAGCCCTTGTCGCAGATGTACTGGATGGTTGAAGCCACGGTGAAGTGGGAACCAGACAGCACCCGCCTGCTGTGCTCCACCTTCCCAGGGTCAGGGCAGGACACCACTAGAAGGACAGACCAGGAAAATAAACTTTCAAGCTACATTTTCTGTCATCTTTAGTCTCACCTGACAGAAATATATCACTTTAAAACATCAAGAATTCACAGTTATGAAAGAGGTAAATATATACAGTACCAATATATGAGCAAAGTTAGCTATTATGACTTTTTTAGAAGTCTAAAAACACTCTTGTTCTTAGCATAGGTCAAAAACACATCCTGGGAAGCAGTGCTTCAAATGAATAGACAGGAAAATGTGCATTATTGCATTATGAAAATGATCTGGCTGTAGAAATGTAATTCACATGACTAGATAACATTTGGATATTATAAAAGAAGCCTTGCCAACTTTGCTTGCATTGGTGGTTAACAAAGAACGTTAAATGCTCTTAATTTAGTCAAATAGTGAGAATCAGGGGTCAATCCAGCTCTGTTTGTCTGAGCCCGGTAACAGGGGCCCACCGAGGCGAGATTAGTCAATTAGTTGTGTCGCCCCCAGCATGCCTGCTCTGGTTCCAGCAGCAGGGGCCAGAAACACAGCGTGGAAGACCGCCATGCTGGAGCCCAGTTCCCCTTCTGTGGCCAGTGAGGCAACTCCCCAGAACCTGCCTCCCTCTCTCTCTCTCTCGCTCTCTCCTCTCTCTCTCTCTCTCCTCTCTCTCTCTCTCTCTCTCTCTACTCTCTCTCTCTCTCTCTCTCTCTCTCTCTCTGTGTGTGTGTGTGTCTGCATTTATGTTAGAACTAGAACTGTTAAAGTTAACGATAATAACGTGTTAACAATAATGTGTTTTAACGCCACTAACTTTAGCACTAGCAGGCTGTTATGATGAGGCAACCTAATTTAGCTAACCGCTAAAGTCAACGGAGTGTAGCAAGATTCCAATTGCCTCGCTTTACGATTCCTTCAAGCTCTATTCAGTTAATGACTATTGGTTGAAGGAAAGTTGTTAGTTTTTGGCGGTAAACTTGAACAATCAAGTTGCTTGTAAAACATGCTTCCACACTCAGTTATGAGCTGTCAACACTAGCTTTCAACACTAGCTCTAAGCAGCTCAGAATATCCAAGTAATACAAATTGCAAATGCAAAGTTTTATTTTGAATCAAAGCAAATGTTTTTATGAAATAAAATAATTTATTTTATTTGTTTTCAAATTTGGAAAGGGAATCGTAGAATTTCACTGGTGTATCAAATAAAACAAATCTGGTATCGTTGCATTCCTAAAAGTAGTTCCTTGACAATTGATATCATTGTCTATTGCTCTTAATTGATTTCCAATATGAATATACATATTTGAGTAAAGAAAGCATAGTTATCGACCTCAATTCTATGAGCACTTGTAGACTAAGTGCTCCTATATCTGTGCTTTGTCTGAAATCCCTCCATGATACATACCTTAAAGGGGACCTATCATGCAAAATGCACTTTAGTACGTCTCTTATTGTAGCCTTTATTTAACCAGGTGAAAGCCCCTTGAGATCAAAAGATTTCTTTTTCAAGGGTGACCTGGAGGACATTAGTTACACATGTAACATAAAATCAACAGAACAACAATAAGGTTGACATACAACATAATGTACAGGGTACAGTTTACAAACTCTATTTACAGAGACAGGTACCATGAGTATCAAACAGCATGTCACCCAGCTGAGTTTTAAAATGATGTAGGGGAACCAAAGTGCTCAGTTTTAAACATGTTTGCAGACTGTTCCAATTTAGTGGAGCTGCACAACTAAAAGCTTTCTTCCCTAAGACAGTCCTAGCACTTGGCACATTTAATAAAACAACATCATGAGATCTCAGGCAATATGTACTTTCAATTCGTCGAGAGATCAGAGAGCAGATATAAAAAGGTAGTTACCCAACATGGCTTTGTAAATGAACATGTACCAATGACTGAGCCTCCGGACAGTTAGTGAAGGCAGACCTGCCTTGGCATATAGGGTACAGTGATGAGTAAGTGCTTTACAGTTAGTAACAACTCTGTGATAGGCGGCATCTAACTTTTCCAGGCAATGGGCAGGTGCATTCATATAGATCAAATCACCATAGTCCAGCACAGGTCAAAAGGTCACAGTGACTAGCCTTTTCCTGGCTTCAAAAGAGAAACAGGACTTGTTTCTGAAAAAGAAACCTAGTCTAACCCTCAGCTTTTTAAGCAGGTTATTGACATGAAGTAAGACAATCATCAAGCCAGATACCTAGGTATTTATAACTGGTAACCACTTCAAGTACTTGTCCTTGCATAGTAACAATATCCAAAACAGGCTCTGGTGCCTTTTTAGCTTTTGAAAATAGCATTACCTTGGTTTTATCAACATTTAAAATAAGCTTAAGTTCAGCAAGCTGAGTCTGAATAATGTTAAAAACAGCCTGTAATTTAACACCAGCCTCCTTAATGGAGGGACCTGCACAATACATCACGGTATCATCAGCATAAAAATGTAAAGTAGCTTCATCCACATTTTCACCTAAACTGTTTATATATGGAGAATAAAAGTGGACCTAAAACAGAACGTTGTGGTACACCATTAGCAATGTTTAACCACTCAGAAGACAGCCCCTCAAAGTGAACACATTGGGACCTTTCAGAGAGGTAGTTCACAAACCACCCAACTGCATGGCTGGATATGCCGATACTGAGTAGCCTCTGCTTTAAGATGCGATGATCGACGGTATCAAACGCTTTGGAAAGGTCAATAAATAGAGCTGCACAACTCTGCTTATTGTCTAAAATACTCGTAATGTCATTCACCACTTTTCATTGTGGCAGTGATGGCAGCTAGTGTTGTTTTCTGAAGCCTGACTGATGTTTAGACAGGATATCATTTTTACATAAAAACTCCTTTACCTGTTCACTCACTAAGCGTTCGAGCACCTTAGCCAGAACTGACAATTTAGAGATTGGCCTATAGTTATTTAAAATAGTTGCCTCCCCTCCTTTTAGTAAAGGCAAGACATAAGCTGACTTCCATACTTTTGGAATTGCATTTGTTCTGAGGGAGAGGTTAAAAAGAGTAGTGAGAGGAAGAGCAATAAAATCTGCAGCTATCTTTAAAAAGAAAGGTTCTACGTTGTCCGGGCCAGCCGGTTTCTTAGGATCTAGCTTAGATAATGCTTCATGAACAACATTGACAGTAAAAGGAGTAAAACTGAAAGAGTTTTCCAGACCACATTGTTCAGGGTCACAGATTGGGGTGTTCACAGAAGCAGAGTTAGTCACAGAGTCAAACATAGAACCGCAGGACACAAAATGCTCATTAAAGCAATTTAACATAGTGGCCCTGTCCGATATAGTGCCAGATGCTGTGGTAAGGCACGGAGGTAGCTCATTACGGATCTCACTGGTGGATATCGATTTTATTGCTTTCCAAAATTTCCTAGGATTATTTAGGTTTTCTGTGGTAACTGACAGATAGTACTTCGACTTTGCACTTTTGACATTTGAAGTGAAGCTATTCCTTAGCTACCTAAAACGCAGCCATTCTACCTCTGAGCCTGATTGCCTAGCCTTTGCCCAGGCCTTGTTTCTCTCATGAAGGAGACTAGACAGCTCAGCAGAAAACCAAGGATTGTCTCGTCCCTTTACTCTAAATGTACGCAGGGGTGCATGTCTATCAATGATCTCCATAAAACCAAGATAAAAATAAGACCATGCGGTTTCCACATCAGCACACAGATCGATTTTAGCCCAATCAAAATCAAACAGATCATGCACAAAACCCTGCTCAACAAAATGTTTTTTGTCTCTCTTAATGATAATGCGAGGTTTAACCTTTTGGACCTTAGTGTCCCTAATTGTGGCTACAACACAGTGATCGCTCAGATCATTTGCAAATACTCCCACAAATGAATATTTATGGGGAACATTAGTTAAAACGAGATCAATTAGTGAGGATTTATTAGGGGACTTAATATTTGGGCGAGTAGGACTGTCCACAATCTGAGTAACATTCAAAGAGATACAAAGGTTTTTAAAATCCTCTGACACTGCAGTTAACCTAGTCCCAGTTAAAATCACCAAGTAGCACTATTTCCTTGTAGTCTAGTTGTGATAAAAAGATTTGCTAGTGAAGACAAGGAGTCTTTGACAGCTGAGGGGGGGTCTGTAACAGCCCACCACCATGACCTGTTGACCCTTTGCCACTTCTATATTTATGGCTAAAAATTCAAATTGCTTACTGATCGATTTGGAAACTAATGTGGTTACACTGAACTTATTCTTAACATAAATGGCAACGCCACCACCTTTATTAGGCCGGTCGGTACGATACACATTAAAACCATTTAAGGCAGGGGTGGGGAACCTCCGGCCTCCGGGCCGTATACGGCCCGCGAGACAATTTGGTACGGCCCTCGAGGTAATTTATAAACACACGCAAAAAAGAAAAAAATGTAAGAAATCTAGACCGCAAAAAAATTAAACAAGCGAGTGCCTGTTTTTCCTGGCCAAGTTCAGGGTCCTTGAACACAACACAAGTCTAACGTGTCATCACGTGGTATATGTCTCGACTGACAGGGGTGCAGTTCTGACGGAGAGCACCAGAACACCGCTCCAGCACTTCAGAAATTGCAGTACCCATAAGGAGCCGTACACATGCTGCAGTTTCTGCGTGGCTGTGTCTTAGTTGTAAACCCAGTGGCGATCTGCTCATCTGTCATACAGTCAATAACTTTGTTGTTATTAGCATCTGGTTAGCTAGCTATGCTAACGAATATAAGAAGCTTTTTCTCCAACCAGTGAGGCAAAGCCACATCTTTATGATCATTATAGTTATAAAAAAACAAGAGAATAAAGTAAACGGGTATAAAATACTATATGACAGTAAAAAAAAGTTGTTATTAATAAAGAAGAATACAGTTTGAAAGGAGAGTGATTTGTCATATTCATAAAGAAAAATAAATCTGCTTACAGTTCTGTTTCATATGGATGTTGAGAGATGTTTCCATAGATCTCCTAATGTTGCTCTCAAAGTGCACCAGATTTATGCTTTTAACTTCAACATTTACAAACAAATCTTCCCAGGGGAGCATGCCCCCCCGGACCCCCCTAGAGGAGGTTAGCTCCCCCCCCCCACTTAAATCATGTTCACATGGATAGGAAACTAAATACATTTGCACACATCTTGTGTCCATATCTTTCTGTTTTGGTGGTCACGCCACACCGTGCACGTGCATGCATGCGCGAGTCATGGTGAGATATCTGGATTAAGAGGTTGCTTTTTCTTTGCACAGAATGAAATGAATGGGCTGTGATTTTAGTTTTTTTAAGCAGAGGTCAATCATTTGTACGGCCCTCTGAGGATATTGTAAAAATTGAAATGGCCCTTGAGAGGAAAAAGGTTCCCCACCCCTGATTTAAGGCAATGTCAGAGGCCAAAATAGATTTGTTTAGCCATGTTTCTGATAAGACAATGACGTCAGCGTCAGTCGATTTTGCCCAGATATGGACAAAATCTAGTTTACCTAACAGACTGCGCACATTCAAGTGGATGAAACCCAACCCAGAATATGTGTCCCCGGTGTGTCAGGGAACTCACCAAGTGTCAGAAAACACAACCCTCTCTCTTTTCCTCCATACCCAAATCTCTAAAAACGGGGCTACAACGGAGCTGATTATTATTTGAATTTTTCTGACGTCAGAAAAGGGGTGCTCCGCCTATATGGGCAACTCTCCACCTATCAAGGGAATGAGAGACCGCTCGAAAGTGCTGGAGACGCTGTAGTACATATGCCAGGCCTGTAAGTGGCGCTGTAGTCTGACACAAAAGCAGAATCAGCCCTTGCAAAAACAGGGCTGGAAAAGAGCAAATAGAGCGAAATAAGGCATGGCTAAAATGCACGATCTGTTTGTGAAGTTTTTTTTTCAAAATACCAGACATGTTTTATATAGGTATGGCCCTACAATATATGTTTCAAATATAGCATGATAGGTCCACTTTAAGACTTTTAACACACATTAGAGAGTTTATTTATAGTAAGCAATAAGTTGAGCTTTTGAACTTTCATTGTAAAACTGTATTACCAATGGTTTTCCGTATTCATGCTGATAAACAAACACATTGATGGAGATAATGGTAATTTGTTGCGTGTATCTAAAATGGTCTACTTGTTTGTGTTAAAAGCAAAATGGACACTCTCTGCTACTCAACAATGTGTGTACCATCTTCCCGTCTCGAGTGGAAAATTCAGTGGGGGCAGTTTATTTTCTTTCTTTTCTTTGTACTGACCTCTCTCACAGCTGGGTAGGTCGCCGCTCCAGGTGAGGTCCCATTGGCACATGAGCAGCTCGGCGCCAACCACCTGATAACCAGGGTAACACTGGTAGGTCACCACGGTGCCCTGAACAAGCTCAGGGTGAGATGTACTCTTCCAGCCATTAGAGATCTCTGGCAGCTCAGGGCAGGTGTCGTTCCGAGCTACTTCTGCAGGGTGTGTGTGTGTGTGTGTGTATCGGAGGGAAACAGCAAGAAAGGACATTAGGAAACGAATACAAGGAAATAATAACAGTCAATTTGTGTCTTTTTGACAATCACTTTGAGCTAATCGTGAAATCGTAGCTGGCTAGTTTGTTAGGACATGTGCGGTCTCTTGAGGAGGAGCATCATAACCCTAACCTTGATATTTTGGTCTTTGTCTTTTTTAGCATCACAACTCGCACTAGCTGATTAGCACCCTTCTGGATAGAGAGCATTAAAGCTTAATAATGGTTTTGATTAGAGTTTGACGGGATGCCTTTATGGGGTGTTACCCTTCCAGCTTTTTGAATGTGCTTTCCTGGAGGGTAACTGTTACCTGATTGGCCTGTTCGATATTCTTTGACACCTGCCAATGTTGCAGTCTTGTGTTTGCATTCCACCAATGAGATTCATGAAGAAACTATAATAAAAGCTTCCCCTCCCTTTATTCCTCTTTGTAGATCATCAGTATTCTGCAGCCTTTCCTTGCCTCTGAATGTATTAACTCTTATCAGATATAGTGCGCTGGCCACGGCGTCGTGCTGATGGAAAGGCCCCGCCAACACAAGGGACAGCCTCTTATTGCTTCCATTTTTAGGTCCTATACCTGCAAAAAGAAATTCCCTGTTCCTTTCTTTCATTTTGCCCAACTTTCCTTTTTACAACCTTACTCTCCTCCAATGTGCTGCTTAGTTTTCATTTCCATCCATCTATTGGTATTGAATCCCTCTGTAGCTGAACCATTGTAGAATTCACTGATACATTGATGATACATTAGAACAACATTGGACATTAATATTACATATTAAATAATAGTTAGCTAGCTGTTTGAACCTGCTTCCAGTCTTTACTCTGAGAAAGGCTAACCACCAAAAGATAAGTATATGGCAAAAATATTTTTGAACTAATCCTCTAATAATCACTAGTCAACATTTGGTGTTGTTTATGCTTTTTTTCCCATCATCCTTTATTACACAAATAAATAAAAAGGATTAGTCTAAAGACAGATGGTGGGTAAAAAGAATGTCATTGTTATGATTTAGAAATACCTAGATTACATAATGTGACTTTATTTTAAGTTACACATTTTTATTATGCTTTTTGGGGTTTCCCCTTTCCTATAGAGCGTGTTTTTTGTGCAAGTTAATGGTCTGCAAAGGCTAAAATCACAAAGTTCCCTCCAGAGGGTTATATTTTCTTCGGTAACATGGTGACATCATTATACAACAATTGCGCCAATATTGGCTGGCGCTCCAACGTAATGTATGTGATTGGCTAAGGGGCGGGACATCTCAAAGCGGTGGACCAATCACAACAGAGTTGGCCAGCTCACCAATCAGAGCAGATGGGCTCTGGTTTCAGACAGAGGGTGAAAAGAGGTGCTGCAGCACAGGCAGTATGAGAAAAATAAAGAGGTTTCTGAACAATAAAGCATGGAGACATGTCCCAGTAGAGGCACTAAATACAAATATGAACCTGAATATTAGAAAAATATGTCCTCCTTCACATTAATATTCATGAGACCAGCGATAACTCACTGAGAGTCCCCACAATCTCTGATGCTGTATATTCCATATATGTGTGCTGTGTGTATTTCCAGAGGAAAGGATTAGGATTTGTCATCTTGCATTAACAAGCTTCAAAAATGTATTTATTGTCTGAATATCGTGGGAAGAGTTTCATATTCTTAAAGCCAATACTTTGTTTGTTTAAAACCCATTATGACCAATGCCATGAGTTTTTCCACCTAATCCATGTTTTTTTTGGTAAATGTGCCGTTGCAACATTTGACTGATTTTGATAGCATATGAACAAAACAGTAAATGGCTCTCTAATGAATCATCTCTAAGAAGTTGAGAATTCTCTGAGCGCTGGTTCTATGACTTACCAAAGAAGTGGACTACGAAGCCGTTGCCATAGCCGTACACGTTGGTTGCCGGGTCGGACTGGAACTGGATGGTGAGGTCTGCGGTAGAGGTGTAGAGCTTAAATCTGGGTTTCGATCCTCCATACTGACCCAGAATTTTAGCTGTTAGGTCATCTCCATCATAAAAGGTCACCAGGTCATTCTTCCCAATGTTCAACCTGCAACAGGAATATCACAGAATCACCAATTTACCAAGTTTAGTTTCTAACCTGAACTGTTTTAGTGATATTTAGCTTTTTCCATCTACATTTTTGATCATAAAAATAGGTGGTTATAAACGCACTTCACTCCTTGTTTGCCTCACCTTTAAACTTTCTCTTGCATCGATTTGTTTAAACATATTTTACTTGTAATAAGAGTGGCAATAATTAAGCACAATGACAAATAATTGGTTAAAAGATGATAATTTAATAAACTCAAAAATGAAGGATCTGGTAAATTAAGTATATGAAAAGAATAACCATGATTCGAGTTCATATCTTTGACAATAGATGAGCATTTTTTTTTAGATAAACAACACAAAACATTACAAATGGCAATTGTGACAGTTAATGTACTTATTAGAATAAATGATCATTCTGTTATCAGTTAATTAAATCATTTTTTAGTAATTTAACTAACAATTTAACATGAACTAATGTTGTTATGTATGCTGTGTAACAATATCGTTTTTAAAATGCAAAAAAAATAATTTAAAAACGATTTGCATTGAATGACGCAGCCCTTCACACACATACATGCCACTTTGCTCTGTGAGCGAACAGAACGTTATGTTAATGGTAAACCTCACAATGGGTTCTTGCATTTTTTAAATGTAAGACAATTCCAGGTCAATCCAAGGTTTCTTATTGCATTATTCACGAGGAGCAGCGTGATTCCTTTTTGCTCCAGAGGAAACCATTGCTGGAGTAATGTGACTATCCACAAGGTGAGATCTTGTTGATTGCATCATTCATATTTAAAGACATTTGGTAGTTCTTCAGCCAGGCTATTATTCTTATTGTCCACAATGACAGTGCTCATAATGACTCATCACCTTTGGGGGATTGCCACCAAAATATTTTCAATAACACATCTGTGTGACTTAAGGACAGCTGTGTAAAGGGAAGTGATTTACTTTTCATATTGTTGGGTGACTTATGAGAGAATTATATAAAAAAACCTCAATTGTCTGCAGTTCATAACACAGACCTTGTATTAATGTGTAATCTCTAGTCATGGAATCTAATGCAGTACATTTACTTAAATAGTGTGCATAAAAAAGACGTTTGTAAGGTGAATACTTCAACTCCCCAACAAGATAGAAATCAAGTATAATGCGTTTTACTCTATTGCATACATTTGACAGTGACTGAGCTAGTTACTACTTTGCTAGTCTGGGTCCCATTGTGTGTGTAAGCATCACATTGACCAATTATAACTTGAGCTACACAGCTCTGCACGTTATTCAATAAGCCAATAATATAATTCACCACCTTCTTTGTCACGATAATTCACAAGCGTGGAATGCAGTATGACCCAAACTAGTGAAGATACCGCTAGAGAGGTCAGGCAAAAACACAAGGGCGGGAGGGTGTTAACACACAGGTGGATAGTATGAGGGCGGGGCATACAATCATAGAGGAAAACGATCGTAAAACTAGGAAAACACAAAGACAAAAAGTGAAACCAGACAGGACAAAATAATGGAATACTTTTTAGGTTTATTAGGTATTCTGGAGCTGACTTTTTCCTTCATTAAAAGCTTCATGTATTGTAGAAAACCCCAAAAGTTGATGTTAGTCATGTCCGTCCCCATCACAAACTGTGGAGCAGGGGTCGGCAACAGGCGGACCGCGGTCCGGATCCAGACGCCGACCTATACGGACTCGGACCTATAATCAATACATTAATAGGGGATTTCAATTTTGATGGGGCGATTCTATTTTAACTGCCGCCGACAGGGGTCGAAAGAGAGGAGTGAGCGATACAGGGAGAGAAACACAGAAGAAGAGACGAGAGAGCGGCAGAGAGGAAAGTGAGTGAAGAGAATAATTAGCGATACAGGGAGAGAAGACGGAGAGGAGAGTGAACAGGCGTGTTAGCGGCAGACAGGGAGAGACAAATAATTACACGTGGCGCTCTCCAAGAAGAGGAAAGTGGACAGTGAGAACAGAGCTTTTTTAACCCTGAGTGGACTCATTCATGTTCATCCTGCCCACTGGGAGCACAGAACCAGTGTGTCTCATCTGTTCAGAGACCGTGGCGCTCATTACAAGTGCCAACACACCACTATGAGACAAAACACAAAGTGTTTGACCAAACATTCCCTCTCAAGTCAGGACTGAGGTCACAACAAAGAAGCAGTCTCAGAGCCCAATATGATCAGTCCACCAGGATCAAAATTAAAACTAAATATCGTTCCAGGGCAGGCTAACCGAGGCTAACCAATGAGCACCTGCATGTGTATGAGAATGGCCCTGACACCAATTCAGCCCAGATCTAAACTCCTGGCAGGACAAGCTCCAGCTCAATTCTCACACTGAATAAAACAAAGTGAGTGAGGGACTGCAATATAAGAGGGAAAGAAAGAGAAACTTTAAAACTGTTCAATTGTTATGATGTGTAAAGACTGATATTGTTCTATAATCGGCTGAAACTGTTAAGTCATGATGTGAAACGGTTAACAAAGAAAAAGGGAAACTCAAGCTGCTGCTACACTTTATTTTATTTATCTAAAATTAAGCACTTTTAAGATGCACACATTTTCAAAAGCTATTTTATTTATTTGTAAATGCAGCCCGAGAGGAACATTACACATATCCACAGTATTTAAGTAATGTTAATAGACAATAAATAGTTGTTTTTGAATTGTACTTTCTTTATTTGATTGACAGTCAGCTGTTGATTACATGCAGACGTTGATAAAGCTACAGGTCACTTCAATATATATCACACTAATTCATAAAGCAAGTTAGACATTTTGATGTTCCGGACCTTTGCATGGGGAGATTTTCTCTAACTGGACCTCGTTGAATTTGAGTTGAATACTACTGTTGCTGTAGAGTATAAAAAAGTTGGACAAAGGACATTATGGGTTCATAACGCTTCGACATATTTGAGTAGTAGTATTTACATCACCTAAATCTCTCAAACAGAAGTGTAAAGTAAAATGTTATCATGACCAGTTGTCGTGAAAGACAAAAATAAGACAATTATGTCGCCAAAATTATGAATTTTCCTATAATAGTTACAGAATATTCTAAAACACCTGCTATCGTCTTCCCTGACTGATTGGGACTGACAGCAATCGTGATGTCAAAAAAGATGAGCACAGACATTTCCATCTGTGGGATGAATGAATCAACATGCTGAATAACCACAATTGCTGTCAGTTAAACTGTCAAAGGGTCATGTATAGTGTTGATTTGACCATAGCCTTTAAAGCTGGAACTCTTACAATCCTCAAAGCTGTTCTGAAATGTCACCTGGGGCTGAGCTATCTCTTTGTAGAGAGAAGATTTAGAGCATTGAAGAAATGGCTTAGCAAGAATAAAGCAGTGACATGCTCTTTGCTGTCGCTAATTAATCACCAGCGGCTCCTGATAAAACTCATTAGCCAGCCTGAGATTGAGCAATTAATCACTAAGGGAATGCCGGAAAATCAAAGGTTCAAGAGGCGTGGATTGAATTGAATTCTTTTTTTACCCAACACTGGAATATGACAGCAATATGAGGTTGTGAAAATATGCAAACTGCAATGGGGAGTGTTTGTCTTTCCATAGGCAGTTTTTTTATTTTTGTCACACACAATTTTTACTTACGTGTCTTAGGAGTAAAAGCAAATAATAACACTATTCATAAAGCTCCTTTAAAAACAGGGTTACAAAGTGATTCGCAAATACAAAATACGCAACAACACACTACACCCCTTTTCCATGAGAGAAAACAGGTCCAACAAATACAAAATCTTGTACAACAAATTATTGTATTTAAAGTAGTAACATTTGTTTTTGCGTATTGATTCAAAATAAATCAGCTAGGTTGCATACACGACAATTGTTCCAAAGTGTGTGGGCCCTGGCAGCAAAAGCACAGTTCCCTTCAGTTTAAAGACTTAGTTCTGATTAGTTGCATAATGGTAGAGAGATTGCATGCATAAAGATAGGTGCAAAAAAGTTCACAGTTTTATGGTAGGGCTAGCCCATGTGGTGCCTTGAAAGTAATGAGTAAACCATTCTAATCAATCCTGAAGTGAAAGCCAATGTTTTGTTGAACCTGAAAGTGTAAGCAGGCTTTGTTCTTTATTAAGGTAAGGTGTGACTGTAAACTCTCTGTCTAAAAAATTGGAGATAAACCGCTCGAGACTGGTGTCAGCTGTTCCTACGATTTCTTTTAGAGAGCACATTTAAGTATCATGGTCCGCTGTGTCAAAAACAGAACTTAAGTCCAGTAAGATCAGGGCAGAACCTTTACCAGCATCGACAGCCTTACAATTCACTACTGGGAACTTAATCTGCAAGACATCATTATTTTCTTCTTCCTATAACTTTCATTTACAACTGAATGAAAAGTCGTTCCACCTTAACATAATGACTCATTAAATCCTACTTTTCAACTCAGGAGAGGTGAAACCTGAAAATGGGCCTATCTAGAAAAATGTTGTGTCCCTTCGAATGCCTAAAGCTAGTTCTAGCAAGCATATTCAAATGATTGTGCAGTCTTTTAAACTTATTGTGTTCTATGTTTATTTGATTGCTAACGGATAAAGCCTCTCACCTGCTCAGAGAGCGAGGCGGATTGAGAAATACTACCGGCTGGCGTCAAATTTGTTGTGATTAAGCTAAACAAGACTTTGTGCGGCTCTGCAGTGCATCTGTAGAAGAAAATCAATCACAGTCTCCATTCCCTGACACTGATTTCATTTAGTTCAATTTGAAAAAAAACAGGGCTGAGTTTGGCCTGGCCCCCAGGACCAGCTGCCAACACATTTCACTCCAACTATTCACTTCATCATTTGCTATATCCAGGAGAATGGCTGGAGCTATTTTTTGCATACATAAAATCATGTACATTTAAAAAAAAAAAAAAAAAGTTTTAAAACAAATAAACATTTAAATGAAATCAACATTTTTCAAACCACTACGGCCATACATTACGTTGTCCAGAATGAAGACAATTGGAATAATGCAAATAGGTGCTTTGTCATTGAAATGTATCTTCATTTAAGTTTTACATCTGAGAGTTTAATAATCAAGCCTATCCTTAAAGGTGGGGTAGGTCATTTTGGAGAAACCAGCTCGAGTGCGCTAGAATTTGAAAATACACAGCCGGAAAAAATCTGCCACTTCCTTACAGAGCCCCTCCTCCAACACACACGAACGCGCACATGACCAATGAGGGCACGAGATAAGTTTGTGCACAGATGGAAGGCTGACAGGCAGGTAGGCCATCCAGTTACTTTAGCCGGGCCGGCTCAGATGATTGGTCGTGCTTTTTACAGCGCCACGGCTTCCACAGATGACGTTTTTTTATGGATTTTTTGTCAAAGCACTTCAGATATTCATTGCTATCAAGATGTTAAGAGCATTCCATGGAATATAACAAAAAGTGTATCTCGAGCCGGTTTCTCAAACTTACCTACCCCACCTTTAACTTTGGCGACAGATATTTTATTTCTTTATTGTTGATGATGCAAACCTAGAGGGTATTGCATTATTTGCAATATAATAAACAAAATGTCATTGGCAACATATTTGCATTCACAGTTATTTGCTCTGTGTTTCTCCTAAAAGATAGGATACTGATGTGTAGTATCAATACAAATGTGGTAATCATCCATTTTGTTGCGGGTCTATACTGCGGGTCTAACTATAATCATATTCAATAAGTATAGATTTTTTGTCAGAAAATTCAAAAAGAAACAATACAAGATTGTATAGAACCTTTCCCTATATTTAACAAATATTTGATACATAATGTCTTTTTTTAAATATCTGAACCTTCAGTCTTTCAGAGTTCTATTTCCAGCGTCAGTCATGGCAAAATCTGTCCGAGCTGAATAGTCTATGACAGCTATTGTTTTCCCGGACAAAGAATATACCCTGTCATACAAAAGAAGACACATTCAAATGTTGTGTGTTTGCAATTATTAACATAGATAAACGGAACCTAGCATAAATAACTATCACACTGGCTATGCTGTTTCACCTAAACAACATAAGACTAGAATCCTGAGAATCGAGGACATCACTATAACAGATTTAAGGGGCCCTATTATGCTCAATTTCAGGTTTCATAATTGCATTTTGTGCCTCTACTTGACCTGTCTCTGTAATAGATTGTTTTAATAAAAGAAAGTAAATTCATGTTTTCTTGTGATAAAATATGTAATGTGGTTAAAAAGATCATATATTACATTAGACACAAAGATTGTTTGGTATATAAATACTAAAGTGTGAAGATAACTAATATTTACGTTTTGACATGTTCAATATAAAATGTTGATCTTTGATTTAAATGTCTGATCTACGATCCTGAGATCCATTGCTTTTGTTTGTCTCCACCAACACATTTGGGGTTTGCGGGTAATTCCCTCACTTGAGTAAATGTATGTGATGAAACACCATTTTCACTCTTGTGATCATTTCTCCCCATCTGAAAGGAAAGGGGTGTAACATCTCCATGCTTTCATGTTCAAAAAGCTCTTTATTTTTCTCATACTGCCTGTGCTGCAGCACCTCTTTTCACCCTCTGTCTGAAACCAGAGCCCAGTCTGCTCTGATTGGTTAGTTGGCCAGCTCTGTTGTGATTGATCAACCCTTTAGAGATGTCCCTCCTATCACGTACAGTACAATGTGTTGGAGCGCTAGCCAATAGAAGCGCAAGTGTTACATAGTGATATCACTATGCCGCAGATGTAAACAATGGAGTCCAATGGGGGTGTTTCAGGCAGGGGGGGGAGAAAACGCTCTCTGGAGGGCACTTGCGATTTTAGCCTTTGCAGAACATTTACATGCACAAAGACCTATATAACACAGGAAAGGGAAAACCCCCCAAAGCATAATAAAGCCTCTTTAAATGAGTCCCTCAAGGCACACTTAACCAAACTGACATCGCCATACAATGTAACAGTGCATCCTTTTTAAAATGCAGGCTAGTTAGCATAGTAACAGTAGCTGTTATTTTAAAGGCAATGTTATTCCACCCAGAAGCAGCGGACAGTATGCTATAGTGTGTTGGATAGAGGGTGGTTTCATTACTTTTACTTCCCATCCTTTAACTTTAATCACACATTTCACTCCATCCTCTTTCATTTGAAGGCCATCTATAAAAGTCATTTGATACACCCTAGTGATAATGTCCCGTTACACAGATGGAGGAGGAGATATGTGCTTGCACAGATGTCTGTGGAATGTGAGGAACCAATATCCAGGGATCTGTTAAAGGCCTCATATATCTCTGTACATTGTCTAACCCTGACGGCTCTGGGAGAACAGCTGCTATTGATAAGCTTCACCTAAATGCTCAGACACCTGCTGCTAGGCATATGCGGAAACAGTAAGAAGTGCTAAATTAGAACGCTTCTCTGGGATATCTAGGTTTTGGTATTTTCCACGAGTGCTCTCTTGGAAACAGAGACAGTGAAACCTCACTAACAATCAATAAAGGCTGCAATGACTTAAACCCGGAAATGAGTTGGCATTTTATTAATGCTGGGCTCCCTCGTCTCATAGTCAACGTTTTTATCGTGTTTTGGTTGGACGCCCAAAAAAACAGTCGTTAACATAACTTTAAGAACAATTTTTACGTTCTGTTCTACGACATGAATAAGTCACCAAGTGGCATTTCCATGCTAATTTATGAACAAACATTCCGTGAAGGTCTAAAAGCGTCATGCCAAACATTAGCCGCCTGCAGTTTAGCGGTGGTTATGCCCAGCCGTGTGACCTTTATGTATCTCATTTATAGAAAGACGTTGTGGTGATTGAAATGATCCTGCTGAACAAAACGAGTAACTATCATAAACGTGTATATGCCACAGATCCAATGAGAAAAACCCATTAGCTTTTAGTCGAAGGAGCCCTTGTGAAGGTAATTTCCTGGTGAGCCTACAAAAATATGTCATCACTGACCACTATATGAACAAATTAACACCAGACTGGAAAGAGAAGCAGTCAAACTATTTTCACATAATCAATTCTAGCTTCTGACATTGATCTTTAGCCCTCTCACCACAAAGAACATTGATATTGGACAATTCTGCAGAACCCTGAATGACGTTTAATGACCACAACTTGCACTTGAACCTGGCACGTTGACGTTTTTTTGGTACGCACATAATCAGTAGGCCACCGGGTGATTTTTCAGCAGCTGAAATGCATCTCTGAGGTGTAAAGCAACCCTAACCCTAACAGCAACAACATACCAGATGCAGGCTTACAAATCTACCAAAAATGTAGAGGTAAAGTAAGAAAAGGTAACAAAAAGACACAGGTAGTAGGGTGACAACACTTCTTTTCAGGCTAAATGTTTTCACACAATACCTTCACTTCTACTAAATTCACCTGCTCTGCTAAGTGAAGCAGCAATTACTTATGTTGACAGACTTTCTTTCAAACACCAGAGGAAGCCATTAATCAATGCCTCTAAAGGTACAACAAGAGCACAGGTGCTGTTCAGAGAGAGCGGGGGAGAGAGAAAACAGGGTTTAAGATGCAACCAATGCAAATGAGCCCCCTCTTAATTTGCTTGCAAATGGCAAATTATTTTCTATGGCTGACTGACTTATCGGGCTCTGACACGGCGGGGTGTGTTGTTCTGTGTCTTCACCTTGGCACCGCAATCACGGGAAACACACACTCCCATGCTGTACACTTGCACCCTCTACTCGGCACGGCAGCCATTACAGCGTGGGGGGTGAGGGGGTATGTTGGTGGTGGGGGGACTGCCAAACAAACCCTCCCTGATATAATTAGTTTTCTCCGTTGCACCTAATTAACCTTTGTCGGTGTGGCACACACGCATCTCATTCACAAGCCGAGCGCTTTCATTAGCAGCGTGTTGTGTTTTTAATGCCTTTTACCAGTCATGGTGAGGTAGCTCTTTGTAATCTTCAAACTGCTTCTGTGGCGCAGTTTGAAGCGGTGTACGTATAAGCACAGGAGATGAAGTGGGATTTTTTCAAGGGGTCAAGAAAAAAGGGTTTGTGGAGATGTCGTTTCACGCACATCGAAGGGCTGAGTGTGAGAGGGCGGATCAAACGTTACGTACACTTGAATGTCCACCATGATCCTCTTGTCCTCCTCCACATGGATTCCCCAGATACAGTCCTGGCCTTTATCGTAGGCTTCGGGCCAGTTCGGAGACAGCACCACTCCTGCTGAGTCTGTGATCTCGCCGCTACACACAGCTGGAACACACACACACACACACACACACACACACACACACACACACACACACACACACACACACACACACACGGGATATTTAGTCAGGCAATGCTGAGGCTACAGCTCATTTCATCAGCACACATAGAGTGATAGAGCTGGTTGTCAAAAGTGTGGATACAAATCCTATGCTTAAAAAAAGAAAAATCCAATACAGTACCTAAAAGCCAGTAATAACATATCTTTCTTTGACTGACAAAAACGGCAGCATAAGTTACTCATAGGTCCCGTCTGATCATGAAAACAATGATGAATGCTTGTGTGTTTACAGGCCCATTGTAACACCCATTATAGGAAAAGCTGGACCTAAACTATAATAACAGTGCCAAAATTCGTACTGCTGAAATGTCAGTGAGCAAGTGACTAATCCACTGTCTACTCATTCTAAGGTAATCCTGTTCAGGTATTTAATTTACCAAATGAAATTAAAACATATCGCATTGAGCATTGATGGGACTCTTCTTCCAGTAATAGATATACAGACCTCTGCAGGCAGGCTCGGTCTCGTTCCACTGGGGGTTGTTGGGGTCCATGCATTCGATGGTGATGGACCCCTGTTCCAGAGTATAGCCAGGGTCACAGGCAAACTCAACCACAGCTCCTACTGCCCAACTGTTGTCGCTGCTGGTCAGGTTACCGTACTTAACGAAGGGTTCGTAGCAGTGGCCCGCTGCAAAGGCTGTAGAGTGAAAAATGAGCAAAGACGAGGAAAGAACTGATGTTTTATCAGAAAGAACGTCAGAAGTTACGCATCCCTATAAGATACATGGCCAAAGAAGAGACCATTGCCATCAACACCATTTATTAAAATTACATTTTTTTCATGTCATTTTGTCGTTGGATTTTATCGTTATACATTTTCACTGAAATCATCTTACATTTGGGAACATTTTGACAATTATCGGATATGTGTGAAAGCCCAGAACAAATGTTATATAATAACAAGTATGTCGAGATGTGTTTTTCTAAATGTATAGCTATGAACGTATTGTGACATATCATTTTCCAATACAATCTTGCAGTTGCTAAAGTGAACATATTTGGATAAGAGTGGTTAAAGTGTATGCAAATAACTGTATGTATAACACCATATGTTTGAAAAGCTAATGGAAGAGCTTTTATCAGACAGATTCCTAATACCTGTAAAACTTCTAGGGTTGGTGATGTCATTCGGTCCAACATTTTGTTCAAGAATGGGTGACACAAAATGTGGTTCTGGCATTCATGGCTGCCAGAGGTTGAATTGTAGGTGAATGTCTACACTATCCACACTATACACTATCTTACTATCTAATTTAGTGGGAATGCTGATACAGCATTCCCACTACTACGCACAAATTCTTTATACTTATTTTTATTCCGCCAGGTTTTGTTGTCCCTCTTCTACTCCCACATTCCACATCGCAGAAACTCTGTTCAAACATCAAAACGTTCAGCTCGATCGGGAATCGATTGCTATTACTTTTCTCATTCATAACTTTCATATTTCCCGAGATATATCCCATAATTCATCACATTTTTAACATGGAAGTCAATGGAGAAACTCTTCAGACTTGAAAAATCTTCATGCGACTTCAACTGCTAACTGTTCATTCATACTTTCACTCAGAAACTCATTCCAACTTTAAAATGTTACACATCTTTCTGAAATTATTCGTGTTACACAGCTTTTAAATCAGATTCATACTTTTAGAGATATTAAACATTGTTCAGACCTTGGTAAAGAGGCCTTCAGATTTTAACATTAGTGTGTATTGCGCAGCTCGTTAAGGCTAAAGTGTGTGATGTCACAGCTAGAGTGGGGGACAGCTTGAAATTCGCCTTCATCTTTTTTCTTTTAAACCTGCCATAATTCCCAAACCCTACACTCCTGATACATAATTGTTCATGAAAAACTTAGGAAAACCTCTCCTAGGTTGGAGAATAAAAACAATTAAGCAAAACAAATTAAACAAAATGCCTCTTGAGGGCATGAAGTGACAAAAACTTTCAACATGTCTCCATTAAGGCCCATTGTAAATTCAGCCTGATCTTTCCTCACAGCAGCAGCCGCACACCATTAGTTAATCTGCAAAAAGGCCACATTATTAACCCGAAAGTACACAAAAGCAGACTGAGACGCTCGTCAGGGTCCTGAGATGCTTCACACGTTGAAATGTCACCGATATCTGCTACGGTTCTTCCACAAAACGTTCACATGTAAGAGTTGTTGTCCTAACTCCTATGCAAATAGTCAAAACAGCACCAGACTTCAGATAATGGTTAATGGTCCAGCCTTCAACATGTCTATGTGCTATTAGTGAGTTTTCCTCAAAAGTTGTTGCCATGGCAACACATCCCTCGCCGTAAAACACGATATTGCTATAACTCCTATGCAAATTGTCAAAAAGTGCTCAAACTTCACATGTGTGCTAACAGTCCAGCCGTGAAGACATCTACGTGACAGTTTTGAGATTCTTCAAATGCCATTGCCTTGGCAACATAACGCTCGCCATGAAACACGGTTTTCTCATAACTTCAGTGAAAATGCTCCAAACGGCCCACAACTTCATTGGTAACGATGCAGCCATCAACACATCTAAGCGTATTATGGGGTGTCATCAAATACCGTTGCCATGGCGACAGATCATTCGCCATCAAGTTAGTGCAAAAAGTTTGCAGTTCAAATATTCTGCTGCTTTTCCAAGCCTTTTTACTTTATTTTCTTCTCTCATCACACATTCAAGCCCCCAGTGTTCATGTATCATTTCAATCTAAATTATTCACTTTCTTCTTACACATTACATTTCAGCATAGCAGTTTAGTGTCAGCTTTTCAGCATAAAGCATTCCCACTAGCAATTTCTTCAGGAATGGCATTCTCTAGTGGAATGTGTTCTTCTGTAAATTGTAATGATTGTATATGTGCATGCCTTTTTATATAATCATGTTATATACAGTCTGATTCTGATGTCAGAATTCAAACATATTAAACTAAGAAGGTAAACATGAACTGTTCACCTTCAACATGTAAACATAGTCTGATGAGCATATTAGCAGGCATGTTAACATGCTGACGTTAGGATGATGTTACCCCAACTGCTAGAATTGTAGTCATACCATTTAAATAGCCTAAAACGAAATGCTTGTTTCATATTTGTAGAAATGTGTCATCAGGGAAAATAAGGATGTCTTGTGTGCAATAGCTACATTTATAAATATAGGATTGTGTGCAATCTTTCACAAACTAAAATAAAGAAAACACTTGAGTGGCATTTAGAAATGGCTAGATGAATATTCATGAGTGCTGATGGCCGTTCACCAGGGTGGGAATGGTTGGTCAGGATAAAGGAGAAAGCATTACATCTGTTGGAGACTAACTGAGCATTATGTGCTGTTAATGGCCATAATGAGGTCCTTTGCTCTCTTTAGACTTAATCCCATTTGTGGCAGTCAAGCCGAGGCCTAAACAGATTACACTGATTGTATTTCCTAGTGGTCCTCACAGAGCAGAGAGAAGCTGTTGATCTGATGGTTAGTGCTGAGACAAATGTGAGGGCAAAAGATAAGAGAAACTAAGATACATCTCACCCTAGCTATTAGATGAAACTTCGTCAAAATAAATTGTATGAAATCTAAGGTATATGCACGTAGACGCTGACAATGTATTGTGTGCCCCTGAAAGCCTGATTATTTTTATTTCAAAGCAGAGAAGATTTAGTACTACTTACTCAGTTAAATGGATACAAAAGCAACAGATAAAAAAGACACATTAAAAAAAAAAAACGCATCAAAATGCACCCAATAATTAGTGTATTGCGAAAGCTGAAATAAAAGCAGCAATGGAAGTGAATAATTAGTTTTGATTAACTCGAGAGTGATTAAGAAATGGGATTTTTGTCCCCTCTCCTGCATCAAATTTAACTGAGGAGACATTAAGGTATAAAGCGAGCTATGTTTTATGGCATCAGTCCATCAAAAAGCTTAACCCAGGCTTCTTTAAATGTCTCTAGAATTATTGGATGGATTGTTTGACTGTATTAGAATAGTTATTTGTTATTTTGGTGAGATTATTACAGGATGCAGTTAACCCTCTGGAATCTAAGGGTATTTTCTCGATTTTTAGATGTTTCTTTAAATCACCTTTTAAATGTACTTCTTATAACATGGCACCCCATGTGTCACATATGAAAATGTTCAAGACAATCTCTGGTCTTGCTATACATGCAAATTACTCACCTTAGAACACTGTGTGATGAGATAAGTAGCTCTAAAGCTTAACATTTGACATCAGATTTTCGGAAAATCTTGTGCAAACACAAATGTACTAATGTCATCCAATTTTTTTTGGTGTTTTAGATTTGGTTACCAATGTCTTAGGATCACAAAAGTAGTAAAATATTTGAATTACACTGTATATAAATGTGTAATTCATGTCTAAAATGAAACAAATTAAATTCAAATTTTGAATAAAAAAGGTGTTTATCACTCTACTTTCACCACAGCAGAGACTGAGATACATTAGGACTGAATAATGACTTCATAACAAGGTGCATGTGTGTACAAATACAAATTGAGCATTTCAACTTTTTTTTTCAACCAACAATTTATTATAAATATAAGAAACTGGAAAATCTCTCTATTTACAATATTACTTTTTCTTGATGGGGAGGTCCTTAGTGATTTCTCGAGTGTCCATTGGTCGTTTCAGACCATCATGGCTGCCGGCCGAGATTTCCTTGACGGACACACAAATCGACCGATCCCACACAGTGTAACACCGAGTCAAGCTGGGGTTTTTTGCAATAACGCCAATGACAATAATTGGTTGACTGTTTCTGCTTACACTATTTACAAGTTTTTTAAAATAAATTAATACTTTGTGATAGGGTGTGTTGTCATGTTTTTCCATATTTATACAATTAGTGAAGCAAGAGCCCCACATGGCATTAGCATGACATTAGCATAGCATAATAACAGAGCGGTGGTACTTACCTTGGTATCGGATGGCGATGCCAGTAGATGTGCCTGTAGCGTCTGTTATTAGCTCAACGAAGAGATACCTGGATGTGCTGAGCAGACCTTCATTGGGAAGATACTCCACCTGATATGAATCATACAGGGCAGCTGCATCTATGCTGTTACCATTTTTGATCAGCAGCCTAGAAGAAAGGGAATCAAGAATCATTTAGCAGGTTCATTGCAGAAATGGGCTACTTTGGAATGTATAGGACCTCAACTCATTTTGGAGGTTTAACCCCATGTATACAGAGGCAATACTTTATACTAAGGTTGCACACATAAGTAGATTTTTATTAAAAACGGCTTGAATGTTCCAGGTCCAACAAACTACAGTACACTACGTGCTCAGCACTAACTTAGTGATTAATACGTGAAAATCTGTAGCAATTAGAAGCTAAAGAGAAGGATAAAACCGAGCAAAAAGTGGAGTGAATTCTGGACATTTTTTCAACAAACCGAAATACAACTATGATTAAATAATAGGTTACTTCTGCTATGTGTAAATAGGCAACTGTTGGCAAACATGATCACTATGCAAACTAGTTTCTCAGACATTGTGTTATGAGCCACTTCCTCTTCCCTTTAAGTCTATTGTGTAGTTGAAACTGTTTTGTAAAAACAACCATCAGTACTTAGAGTCATTTGGCAAAATGGATACACTCTCCATTAATTACAGTAACATTTAAACTAAATCGATTCAGTACATTTAAAAAAGAAAAGAAGCTATACATGTTGGTTTGCTTCTGGCTTCACCTAAGTTAACCACTCATTATGCAGGTTATTTACATAGTGTGACTATAAGACTAACAGTGACAGAAAGCATCCTCAAAGAATGACTCACAGATTCTTACATATTATCTAAACATCTTCAATTTGAGGTTAATGGCAATAATCTCTCAATGCTCAGGAGATCTGCCTGCACACATCTACAGTAAGAATGGTACAATAGATCAAAGTTTAGGTAGGAAGTTTTAACTGAGTTTGACAAATCTTTTTTCCATTTACTTCACCTTCACGTAAGTAAGTGGTGGGAGCTGATGGGAGTACTGAAAATGGTGCTTATAATGTTAGGATTGCGGAAAGATGACCAAAACCATAGAAGACTATGAAACAAACACAACTATAAAACACACTTCATTCAAATTTGATAGAAACAAAAGAAAAACTGTGACCCAGCTGACACTCATGATGTTTTTCCACCTGCAGGTGGGGGGTCTATTTAGCAGTAAGACTCAGTGTTCATATGCTGCAAGCCACAGCCCCCCCCACCCGTGGTTCTGTTCCTGCATGGCCTCCCATGGTGGACTGCATTAATCTCTGCCTGCTCTGCCTTTGACGACTTCAATTATGCTTCTCAGGTAGTGAGAAGAGAACAGAGCACAGCAGAGCCTTGATGTCAAAATCAAATCTATATTTACATTTACTCTTTATGTCTCCATTCACCCTGACTGAGCAAATCTGACGGAAAAAAGTAATTCCCTTTTGGTTTACTTCTCTGGTTCCTTCACAAAAGAAAAGTGATGCAATAAAGAGTGTAACGGATGATATTTTATTCTTGCTTAGTTATCCATTAGTAAAATGATCTGCTATTCCCCTGAAAAGACCCATACAGCCATTGTATAATCTCAACACCTACAAATTATGTAGAGAATCATTCAAAAATGTTATCAATTAAATATTAAATGTTTCCTACCTTCTGAAAAGCCATTGTTTTCTATAGATTCTATTTCTATTAGATTTTTAGTCAAACTGTTTTGACACATGCTGATGATTTCAGTGTTTTTTAGTGATTTATATTTGATTACATTTAGAATATTCATTATACATTTTGAAGTTGTTTGTATAAAATGACCAAAAAAGAAAATGTATATATTACTAAGAAACTCTAGAAATTTCAACAGCATTTTTACACTTTGCATGCCTAATCGTTATCCTCTTCACATCATCCCTTCTTTCAGTTTTTTAGGTTCCTCCAAGCTGTCTAGACGTCTCTTTGTGTCTATGAGGGACGGAGTCTTAAGAAACCTGTGGCAGTTATAAATTAGTGCAGTTATAAAGTAGTGCAATGATGGCGTATTTTTGTAGGGCAACCCGGAAGTTAGCATCACTATAGCTCCCTAGACAAAAAGCATTTTTGGAATATTGTAGAAAACAACGTATGTGTCAAATACACAATTTTGATACTTTGACATTTTGTTCAAAAGGATAATCTCCACATATTGACACTGCTTTTATAAAAGTTGAAGCATTAATGCAATTTAGCTAAAAATATTTTTGTTTTACAAACTGTAAAGTCCACTGAGACAAATGTAAAATGTGGGATATTGGCTATATAAATACACTTTGATTGATTGATTACATTTCACCAAGGTGTTTGGCATGATTACGTTTAGACATTTAATTTAGTCACTTTTTAGCAACTGACATTTGTAAGACACGTTAAAGCTTCAGATATCAACAGTTTACTGACCTATTTTATGTTGTAGCACAAAACATGAATATCTTCTGAGCTTATATTAACCACAGACCTTATTTCAGGCATTTATCAAAAAACACGTTTAAAAAAAAAGGGTTGACATCGAGACGGGGGAGTGCAAAAATGCAGACTAATTTATAGTTAAGGACTCATTCCTGCACCACTCTATTGGCTGGTTTGCAATATCACTCAGTTTATTCAGCTAATTTCCCCCCTGCGGCGCTTCCTACCAGTCCTCCGTAGAGCCCCATGCTGTTCAAATAACAGTCAGTGCTATTAGCCGCACATCCAGTTGTTACCCTGCAGAGTCCTCAGAAACGAGGTTCTTACAGAGACAAAGCACAGGGTACAGGAGAAAAGGCCTGATTAAACACAAAGTAATGGCGCATTTTCCCTACACGGCCTCGCTCGGTATGGCTCGGCCTCGTTAGGACTGGTTCACTTTATGGCGCATTTCCATTACAGTTTAGGAACTGGGGCAGTAACTATAGTAACGCAGTGTAGGCGGAGCCGTGACGTAATCTTCAATGAGAGCCCCAAACAACACAGCCGTTAGCTCTTAGCACTCAGAGCTCACAGCTCTTCATATCTGTTCAGAAACTAGACAACAGTTAAACAAGTACAAACCACAGACTGTCTGTGTCATGGCGAATACAGTCGCTGGTTTATTTATGTCTGTATAGGCCGTTGTTGTGAGTGTGGACGGTCGGAGCATATACTGCGTTAGCTTAGCCAATCCCCATTTAGAAAACACGCATTTTAAAAGGTGCTTCGCCTGCTGTCTGTCTGCAGACTTGTCAAAGCATTAACCGGTATCAGTATGTTGTTACTTCGGCATCATTTTGAAACGTGTATTACAATTAAATCACGGTCAAATATGTTAATCTTGTTGTAGTTGTAGCCCCCTTGCCAGCAATTCTCTCTCTAGTTTAGCATGCTCAGCCCGACTCAGCCTGGTTGTTCCTGGCCCTAGAACCACGATTTTATGGGGCCATAAAAACTGTGAATTAGGACCCGCTAGCCGGTACTAGGCCAAGTGGAAACGCAACCAATAACGGGCCCCGCACGGCTCTGCACGCTTAAAGTGAGCTACCCGCTGCAGTGGAAACGCGCCATAAGTGAAGGAACATACAGCAGTAAAGAGTAGGCTAACACATCAGTTAACCGCATAAACCATGAGACAATACACTGGCCTATAGCGTCTGACATTATCAAATGTCATCCATGTAGACCGTTTCACGCTTAATGAGAAATAAATAGATTCAGAATGTATGCATCTGCAGTACATTTTGAGCATCATGTCAAACTAAACTCGCTCACTTTAGAAAATATATCAAGAAAAGTCTCACTGGGAAAAATGCAATACATTCCAAAAACTACAGAATAGACCAAAAAAACTGAAATAACAGTAGCCTATATAGACTATCCGGATGACGTATTTGAAAACGTATTGACACATTTAAAATCTATCATTGTTAATATCCACTCCATTCTCACTGTCTTTGCTGGTGCATCGCTGAGTTTCTTGGTGCGTTATCCCCAGTTATTACATGGTTTAGTTGAATACTCGATTCTGATTGGTCAATTCAGAACATGTGACACGTTGTTAATACAGTAGTACAGACCGCTGTCAAGGACTTATTGACCGTTGTTAAGGACGCTCACATCTAGGCCTACAGAAAGAAGTCCAGTCGATTTAACTGTATACAGTTTGGCCGGAAAGCAAACTGCTTGCTTGTCTTTAGTTTTCCGTTGTCTCCCGTCTGAGAGCAACATGGAGGATTTTAATATTCATTTTAATATATTTGGAGAGCACAGGATGAATGGTTATTGACTGATGTGTCCCCAGTGAAGAAAATAAAAAGATAAGAGGGACAAGAAAACAGCGGAGAAGTAAGAGAGGCGAAAAGACGGACCACATTATGGGCTATGAAACTATTTAAAGACTAACTGATCAGATACGGGGCAGAAACCATCAACATGGAGCTGCGGTCCTTTTTACGTAATGGTCCAGACATCAAACGGCAAAACATAATCAGTTGCCAGTTACTTTGGCATTAGGGCAGGAATATCTAGATACTTTCCAAGGTTTGACATAATGAATTGTGCTACTTCTAAAGCAAGCAACGATGTTTTCAAATCTGTAATCTGTATCCCAAAACGCTATCGAAGCAGTTCCTGCCATTGCTACGTAGTTCAAACGATAACAACGGACTATTTTTCTTAGCGGATGCATTTCATTTTAAATCAATAAAACGACTTTGTAAATCAATAATACTATTTTTAAATCAATAAAAACATTTTCTAAATCAATAAAAGCATTTCAATTAATATTGGGATTCATGTTGTTACTTTGTTGAGAATGTGGCCTTGTAATAAGCGGGATAATGTGCTTCATGCTTCATGCTGATCAAGATCCCTCCGCTTCGCGTCGGGCTCCTGATCAGCCTGTCGGGTGTTTTTTTACCCATAATGACCGCCCTGCTGCACCTTATCCCTCACATGTCCATCAGTAGATATTGTGATTTATGCAGGGTAATATATTTTTATTGTAATGCCTTGGTAAGACTGTTGCTTAAGTGAAACGTTATCATTGGCTCTTCAAATGTTCCTCTGTTATAATAACAGATTGTGAGCTGTCACCATCATAGAAGTATATTTTTATTTTACTATAAAATTCTCTCTACTGCGTCCTCTGATATGGTATTAAGCCCACTTATTTATATTTTCAATGCAAACCACTTAAAACTCTCTTTCCCTTTCACTAAATCTTTGAACATGAAACCAGTGAAAGCTGAAATAATGTAATATGTTCACATGCTATGGTTGCCTGGCGACAGGTCTACATGACCTAAGTTTAAAGAGGATTAATGCATTGTTTATAACGTCCAACCATCCTCAGGCCATAGCTGAATGTCCTTCTTACCGATCATCATCCTCAGCTAGCGCCACCTTCTCAAAGTGGACATGAAGCCTGTGGCCCTCGGGGGCCTCCAGCAGCCAGTGGCAGGTCAGGTTGTTGCTGTAGTTGCTGGGAAAACCTGGAGAGATGATCCGGCCAACTGTGACGTTTTTGATCAAACCACCACAGGCAGCTGAGAAACAGAAGAATGTGGAAATTAAATAAAAACAGCAATTGATTCAAAATACATTAAACATTAAACAAGTTTACAACCCCCATCCCACCCCTAACCAGTCAATCATCAACCTTCTGACCATAGATAGTTTGGTGCCAACCAGGCCAGAAATGGAGCCGGTTCCTTTGCAATAATGGAAATCACACAGAACTTTCCATTGGGGCAGCGGTGGCTCAGGAGAGAGAGTGGGAGTTTGCCAATGAGAACATCAGTGGTCATTGGCCCCTGTCCACTATCAAATAAAAGCATAACATGCACTAAATTCATCTTTAATATGTCTCAGTATTTTATAAAGATGGCAAATACATTTTGAAATGCTTCAAACACAAGATAACTAACAAAATCTGCATTTGAGTTAAAATCAAATTGTTACAAGATATTAAACTTTTTGTGGGTACGCCTCGAGCCCTTTCGAGAATAATGCACATAGAGTGCTCCAAAAATAATATTCCTGTTACTCCGAATAATCCAAAGACATTAACAGCACCACTGAACAGTATGCAAAGAGAGTCCCAGATCTGATCAGTCACTTTTTTTTCCTCTGTTCCTCTTCCTGCAGTTTTTGCAATTCTGATTAATGTACCATTTTAAATTGAACAAATAGACAGATTTGTATTTATATATCATGCACCTTTACATTCACATTCAACAGCATGCTGGGAACCAGGACATGAGGTAAGAAAGATAACATCATAAGAGATACAATCAAATATAACAACACAAACAGAAAATCCATCTTCAGCTATAGGAAGGTGTGTGTGTGTCTTTGTGTGCGTATATTTTTGTGTTTGATCAGGTCAAGGTTACTCATGCAGCCAAATCTTAATTAAAACGGAGGAGGAAGAATAAACCCAGGGGCATCCTGCCCAGCCTTAAGTAATCACACCTCTATACACCTGCTTTACATACACACACACACACACACACACGCACCCACGCACGCGCGCGCACACACACACACACACACACACACACACACACACACACCACACACACACACACACACACACACACACACACACACACACACACGCACACACACACACACACACACACACACACACACATCACACACACACACACACACCACCCACACACACACACACACAACACACACCACAAATTGCTTTCAGAGAAACGTTCCCTGTGCAGTGGGTTAGGTTGGATCGGGATGATCAGGAGTAAAACGGTCACTTATTATTCATCAGCAAACCTCAGCAAAGAGAGAAAGAAAAACATTGATCATCCTCTCGGTCAGTCTCTGTGCCTGACCAGCGGCTCCAGAAGATAACTCTTAGATGCAAAGTCTTCTAAAATAATACCTCTAAGCTTTGATTTTGCTGTTATTCAAAAGCTATAGTTTAGATATACTACTAATAATGATGAATGTATTCTCGGCGTTGTACGCCATCGCCTCTCTCCAAACTCTATTATCTAATAAAGCAGAAATCCGCAAAATATATATATCATATTTAAAAAATAAATTATAATAACACTGAAAAGAAAGATACTGGTTATAAATATAAAGATAATTATATATTGATATTTTATCTTTTTAGATGTATGCATGCACAATATTACATTTAAACAGTTTGAAAAAAGGAATATTGATATGAATATGGTTTCTTGCTGAGGGGGCTGCAGCACCCCCATCTGCGAGGCTCCACTAGCACCCGCACCCCCTACGCGGCGCACCTACAGTGTAAGCGCGCCACAGTTTTGCCGCAGAGAGAGTGTGTGTGTGTGAGGAGCTCCGCGGATTGGTCCATTTGGGTATGGGGACGTCACCATACCCAGGAAGAAAAAGAGAAATCCCCAACGAGGCGTTCTGGGGCAGCATAGACAGGTCTTTTCTGTGTTAGAGTTGTACTCGCTACAGGGTGTACTTTGAGGGTTTGTGACTCTGCAGACTGTTTACATGCAGAAAAAGCTTCATAACACACAAGGGGACGGGTAATAACCGGAAAAGCATGACATGGGATCTTTAACACTGTGGTGTAATGAATTCTCCTTCACATATACCCTAACCACATGCCGTTTGTCACTGTAAGGCTTAGTGGTTAGAAAAAAACATATGACCTGATTTTCTTTTTACAATTTGACGTAGCCCCCACCTAGGCAGTGTGGTTCCTTGCCGCTCCAGTAGGGGGTGCTTGCGTTGCGGCAGGTGAGCACAGCGGGGCCCTGCAGCTGGTACCCGCTCAGACAGAAGAAGAAGGCCTCTCCCCCAGAGTGGAGGCTGCTCACCGACACATCCCCGTAGAAGGGCCGCCGGGGGAACACACAGCTCAGGACGAAGGCTGCAGGGACCGAAAGGAAAGAGAAGATAAGTATTAAAAGTGGAAAAGTCAATAAATTATAACTTCAGATGTCCTTTTAACTTTGAATGTCGCTTATTATCACAATGGAGCATTTGCCTCCTTCCTTTTACAGTTGTTCAAAGAAAGTTTGAATTGTTTTTATATAAATGCAAATAATTAATATTAAAATATTAATTAAAAAAAGGTCACTTGCTGTTCAATGTTTCAGACAGATCCTTATTTTCAATAAAAAGAAAAAAATGATTCCAAGCTAGAATTAAAGGCCTCCTCATTTAAGAATGTAAGTCATTTCCTCCAAAGAGAGGCAGGAAGTCATCTCCCTGAGCCACTGGCCAAAGCGTGGTCTCATTACATTACCAAGATAAGCTACAAGGCACAAATCAATTTCTCATTTTTAGCTGATAAATTCCTTATATAAACAACTTAGGGTGTAGAGGCACTTTTATGCCTATCGTCTTTCCAAATGCGTGTAATATGTCACACCGAGACTCCCTCATTTCCAACACTCACCAAGGCAGTGAAACAACTTCCCTTTATCTTCTACACATGTATTAATTTGTCTAGAATGTTATTGTCAAATGTATGTGATTTGAGGACTTTACTCATGTAAATGTGACGGAAACACTATAAGCCTGGACTTAACAAACTGAATTGATTTTGAATTAAGCTGTGTGTTTAAACAACAAATTACAGTTGCAAATAAACAGCAGTAACACAGCAGTAACACAGTGACACAGTTTAGTATATTAGCTTCCCTCTGCTGATTGTTAGCGCTTTTGTCCACATTGCGCCTTTTTTTGAATGGCAAGTTTTAAAAATGGTTTCCAATAAGGTCATATGCTGCCGCCTGGAAAAAATGCTGCTGCTCTAAGCAAAACAGTGCTGGTGACATCACTGTAGACAAAGATGGAGATCGTGCATTTTGCAAGCCCCCAGGAAGTGCTCCGGACTCTGAGGAAAATATTCGTCGTGGCCAAACGGCAGTACTTCAATTTTCGTATCAGTCCGTGACGTCATTGGGCCCAGAAATACTTTTTCCCATTGACTTACATTGGGAAAGAGACGTCTGTAAACTACCCAGCACGAACACTTGTATAACCCTTATTTAAATCATTAGCTTTTAAAAGTTGTAAAATGCACTAAAAGCCAAATCCAGATTTATTTTCTCTCTCCATTAATTCTACTGAGCCGAGAGCGGGAGCTCGGGGGGCAGGGCTTAAGGGCCAACTCAACTGCGCATGCTCTATGAGTGCACATACGGGTACTTCTGCTCTGACAGCCAGGCATGCCATGACGGGTAATCTTCATCGTTTTGCTATCGAAAATCTCAGGCCGTTTTGTCCTCATGCGCCACTGAGCAGCTCTCATAGGAAAGAACGAGACCCCGCCTCCGACGCTGTAATCAGTTCTCATTATACATCCATGGTCATTTGGACGGAAACTAATGATGGGAATTACGGCTCTTTGAAGGGAGGCGGATCTTATGGCTCCTTTTTTTATGGACTTTATGGTCCTTTCAGAGAGCCGTTCCAAAGAGCTGTTTTTTTTAACCTGTTTAGCCCGAGACAGGGTTCTTACACCTTTTCCAAAGTCAAATTCAAGCACTTTTCAAGCATTTTCAAGGTGCATTTTCAAGCTTTTCAAGCAGCTTACAGCTGTTGTAAATTACATATTTATATGCACATACTCAAATGATTATTTCCCTCCCTCACATTAAATCAGATGTTCTTTATGCTATAAACAACCAAATGTGTGTTTCGTGATAGCCTTCTACACGAGGATGAAAAATTAAAGAAAATAAAACTAAGTTTAATATTTCAATATGAGTGATCTGTACATAGACTGGGCCTCCCATATAACCTGGCTGAGCCAATATAAAACAATCAGCCAAATAACTTCAATACATTATTGATTACTATTTTTGAGGTACTTTTAGGTTGGAAGTGAACATAAGTCAGAGGTACATGGTGTACTTTTCCTCCACTACATGTATTTAATACCTTTAGTTACTTCACAGATGTGGATGAATTATGTGAAATCTAATCAAGTGTTAAATCAGACTTTAGTTCCACCTGGAGTAAATCCACAAGCTACCCTGCAGTATACAAAGTCATTCAAACTAGCTGCACCTTTACCAGCTTTGAGAACACTTTCATGATCAATCATTATAAAACATATCATATATATTATTCTGAAATAGACCAATCTGCACAACGACTACTTTTACTGTCGCTACTTTCACTATATTTTGATGAGAATACTTTTATACTTTCACTTGAGGAACATTTTGAATGCTTTTACTGTAACAGAGTATTCCTACACTCTGGTACTTCTACTTTTACTCAAGTACAAGATCTGAGTACTTATAACTTCACTACAAGATCTGAGTACTTCTACTTTTACTAAGTACAAGATCTGAGTACTTATAACTTCACTACAAGATCTGAGTACTTCTACTTTTACTCAAGTGTGCAACTAGTTTTTGACAAGAAAGCTACTGGAGACTTCTAGAATTGTGTGAGTAACACTGTGTTTGTAGACTTCTCTGTTTCAGTGTGTGTACTCTGTATCAATGCTCTGTAGTTGATCTGACTGGAATTGTGTTTTTAAAAAACTCAAAACCGCTACAGCATCTGTCAGACAGAAACTTGGGAAAAGTCATTTGACTGAAACCTTAAAAGTGATCTAACTGACTACTAGGGTTAACTTTGATTTAAACATTTGTAGAATACTAAGAGCTTTATTGAGTAGGTGTAACTGTATTAAGGGTTCAACTCAGAACTTTATAACTTAGGGTTTAATGTAATTGACTTAAAAGACAATAACACATCAGGACGAAGCCAGTCTAGATTTCCTTTTGAGGGCCACCAGCTGCAGAGAGTTAACTAATTAAAAGGACGTTGCCCCACAGCTGTGAGAACTCAGCAATCAGGTGTCCATTTTAGGTAGCAATTTCCGGGAGCGTCAGCTTCAGCGTCAGACAGGCTAAGACTGACAAAGACATTAGAGTCCTGTGGGAGTCAAAGACTGACAAAGACATTAGAGTCCTGTGGGAGTCAAAGACTGACAAAGACATTAGAGTCCTGTGGGAGTCACGAGGGAGGCAAAGAGGAGGCAAATCCTACTTTGATTGAGCTAAGTATCGCTGGTGTTTTTTATTTCGTTTCATTTTTATTTGGTTGTTTAGCCCCTCATGCTATAATCATGTGTATTTTCTCTATTCCTGTTCATGTGTATTCTCGCAATTATCACTGGCCCCGTATATCTCGTAATCGATATAACCGGCCTGCTCTCGTCTATCCCACATGCTCCACTGAGATCCAACATCTAATTTCAGGTGGCCTGTGGAACTGCCAGTCAGCTGTTCCTAAGGCTGACTTCATCTCTGGCTACGCCTCCCTGCAGTCTCTGGATTTCCTTGCTCTCACTGAGACCTGGATTACTCCATCCAACACATCCACCCCAGCAGCTCTCTCCACAGCATATTCCTTCTCCCATACACCCAGACCAACTGGCAGAGGAGGTGGCACTGGTCTCCTGCTCTCTCCCAAATGGAGCTTTTCCCTCTTCAAGCTACCTAACTTCACTCCTTCCACCTTTGAATTCCATGCCGTCACAGTAACCCATCCTATACAGCTAACCATTGTTGTTCTCTACCGTCCACCAGGCGCCTTGGGGGACTTCTTGGAGGAATTAGATAATCTCCTCTCACACATCCCTGAAACTGGCCCTCCCGCTGTACTTCTCGGAGACTTCAACCTCCAGACGGGGAAGATAGACGAACTAACATCTCTGTTAACCGCCTTTGCTTTCTCACTGTCTCCGTCCCCACCGACTCATAAAGCTGGCAATGTCCTTGATCTCATATTCTCAAGGAACTGCGCTACTTCTAACCTCTCTGTAAACCCGCTCCACACATCCGATCACTTCTTCATTTCATTCTCTCTATCCCTTTACAAACATAACAAACTAATCTCTTCTCATCCTGCACTTGTCCGCCGTAACCTTCGCTCCCTCTCCCCCTATACCTTTGCCTCGTCGGTGCTCTCAGCCCTCCCTTCCTCTGACTCGTTCCAACTCCTGCCTCCAAACTCTGCTGCAGAAACTCTCCTCTCTACTCTCTCATCCACTCTGGACTCGCTCTGTCCTCTCACATCTCGGCAGGCTCGTCAGTCCCCTCCTGCTCCCTGGCTAAATGATGCACTGCGTGCTAATAGAACCGTCCTTAGTGCAGCAGAGCGGAAATGGTGGAAATCCAAACACCGTGACGACCTCCTAACCTATCAAGCTCTCCTCTCCTCTTTCTCTGCTTCGATCTCTCAGGCAAAAAGCACTTTCTTTCAAGATAAGATCCAATCTTCCTATTCCAATCCTAAAAAACTATTTTCCATCTTCTCCACCCTCTTGGACCCCCCCAAAGTCCCTCCCCCCTTCTCACTTCTGTCAAGCGACTTTGTTACCCACTTTGAAAAAAAGGTTGATGATATTCGCTCTTCTTTTTCTGACTCACCTTTACTCACCGCTGGGTCACCAGACCCTCCTTCCACCAACACACTTACCTCCTTTTCCCCTCTCTCTCCAAGTGAGGTTCTTACCCTCATTACCTCTGCCCCGCCCTACCACCTGTCCTCTGGACCCTATCCCTTCAAACCTCCTTCAGACTATCGCTCCTGATATTCTACCGTTTCTCACCCATTTCATCAACACTTCTCTAACTTCTGGTCACTTTCCAAACAGTCTCAAGGAGGCAAGAGTAAACCCTCTCCTAAAGAAACCCACTCTCAACCCGTCTGATGTTATAAACTACAGGCCTGTCTCTCTCCTCCCGTTCCTGTCTAAATCACTTGAACGCGCTGTCTTTAAACAACTCTCCTGTTATCTCAATCAGAACAACCTTCTGGATCCGCACCAGTCTGGTTTCAAGGCAGGTCACTCCACAGAAACTGCTCTCATTGCTGTCACGGAGGAACTGCACACTG